ACCAAAACATTTATCTCCCTAAAAACTCTATACAGCAATAGGTACGTGTTGAATTTAAAACTGCGCAAAACTTTATGTGACAGCTTGGTCTTGTCCCAATTCGCTTATTGTGATTTTTTGTATGGTCCATGCCTTGATGGAAGTTATAGGTATAAAATTCAAAAGGTACAGAATTATTGTGTGCGGTTTATATATGGGTTACGTAAATATGATCACATATCTCAAAAACTAAATGAACTTAACTGGCTCACTATGGAAAATCGTTGGAGACTTCACTTAGCTTAATTCATCTATAAACTTCTTAGGAATCAATCAGATGATAGTCGCTACCAGTTAATTCCGAGATCCAGCATACATTCGGTTAATATAAGACATCCCAATGCATTAACGATGCCTCATCATTCGACCGCCATTTATCAAAGAAGTTTCACATATAATGCAATCAAGTTGTTCAATTCAATCCCAGACCGCATTAAAAGCCTTGGTCCATTCTCCTTCCGAAAGTTCATTAAACATGAGCTACTTTCTTCACAATAAGTATTGTTACGATCTTCAATATGAATATTATGTACACATCCTCTTTTTTTTCTCTCTCTAAGTAATGTAGACTCACCTTCCCAATTGGACAGTGAGAGGTTAGATGTAAGAGTAGCCTTAGGCTAAATCTCGCCTCCTGCTGGACAGTAAACAGTGAACAATGTTTTTCTTCTTTGTACAAATGTTTGTACAAATCTTTATATATTTTTTTGTATTATGGAATCACATAAATAAAGACGATTTATTATAAATCATGAAAATCATCCATTTTCTCAAAGTGGTCCACAGTATTTTCAAGAAGAAAAAAAAAACTAGGGGCTCAACCGACCGACTTTGAGCCCCTAGTTTTTTTTTTTCTTCTTGACGATTTATTATTATTATTATTATTATTATCCCTATTCATTTACTTTTAGTTTCAACTCATTATCACATGACAGAAGTATGTCCAGAATAAAGGCAGCAAATAAATCTCTGTGCAGTAGATTTGGCTCAGATTGAGAGCTGGCACAGGTAGGTTTTTGAAAGGACCCCGCACATTTAGTACGTAAAATGGCTTTCGGCTAAATTTTCTGAAAATTTGATATGTTTAAGACATTATCGTCCTTATCACACAGTCCAATTTACAGATCGATCCTATGACCAGTTTTCGAGCTACAGGGTGTCAAACATTAGATTTTGGCTGTTTAGAATATTTTGCATCAATTTGAATTATGTGCTCTAAGTCGTGATTATTCTTCAGTAGGAATGAACTCTTCACGTCTAATATCTACCTCATGAATCCCTCTATTCGGTTAGAGGATAATATCACATACAGAGTATTGCATTCCATCATGACAAGGTAATATTCTTGGGAAAAGACAAATATTGAAAACATCAGAATTTTGATTTTTACTCAATCACTGAAAACTTGAAAACAAACGGCTAGAATCAGCCAATTATTTGACACAGTATGGGTCTTGATCATCAGCATAAGGATTTATATGATTACCTCTGATACCATGTCCAATTGGCCATATATAGGGTGATGACAATTTGAAAGCTTATAGAATTGATGTAACTCAGGTACAAAATGAGATACATTTCTATAATATATGAAGTGGAAAATGAAATGTCTCATGAAATAACCCACCCCCACCAAGCCCCTGATGAGTCACAACCACCCCAACGCATATCATCTCAATAGTAGCCCCTACTTATTGTGATACCTCATTGAATAGCTTGGTGAAAATACATTCCAGTGTTATTATTATTGATATCTCGAACTGGGTGAACCAACAAAAAATATTTATTAGGTACCTATATCATTCTGCTGGGGTGACGTATTAATTTTATAACTTTTGAAAAATAAATCGTTAATATCGAGCACTATAGAGACATATTGCTGAAATAGTTATATTCAGATGATTTGAAACAAGTATTTGTGTACAGTAGATCGGTGTAGCGAGAGAACACGGCGATGAACAGAATGTTTAGTCCAGGTAAGTACCTAAATGATTATGTTTTCATAAGATCAAAATTATGTTGAACAATTTGACTAGGTATAGGTAATATTTCAATTAGCCAATTCTCGAATATCATCCAAACATCTTTGGCGGATTTATGTTGATTGGAGAGGTTTCGAATAATTATTGTCTATATAGTTCAATGAGTGTTTTGTAATGCACATAACAATATGCAAAAATAACCGCATGGATGAAATATATATAGTCTTCAAGCAGATCTGGATAGTGAACGATCTCTGCTGAATTCCAGCGAAGACCCAAGCAACAATATTTTCGGAAATCAACAGTGCGACCCATTATGTACTATCATTCATGGCTTGTGCCTATCAGTTCATCTATAGCAATGCTTGATGTCATATTATGGTATCTGACAACTTGTCTCAATACGACCATCTCGCCAGAATGTGAGCCTCAATGTGAAAAAGCAGCTTTTGACAATCATCAAAATGCAAATTCTCTTGAGAATTCAAACATAGCGGACATGTCACAGTTTTACAACTTCTATCTTGGAGATGTTCTGCTGGATTGAATGGAGCTGTGTCCTTACCGTCTGACCAGCTCAGGTTAGGTGAGGTTAGGTTAGGTTACTAGAACATTCTGTAGATTTTAGTTTCCTCTCGCTTCACTAGCCAACTGTTCACATAAGCAATTTAACTTTTATGGTTATTTATATAATGCTCGATAATAACGATTTTTTCCCATACTACAAAAAGTTACGGAATTAATACGTCACCCCAGCAGAATGATATAGGTGATGAATTTTTTATTAGTTCACCCAGTTCGAGATATGAATAATACCACTGAAATGTATTTTCACCAAGCTATTCAATGAGGTATCACAATAAGTAGGGGCTACTATTGAGATGATATGCGTTGGGGTGGTTGTGACTCATCAGGGGCTTGGTGGGGGTGGGTTATTTCATGAGACATTTCATTTTCCACTTCATATATTATAGAAATGTATCTCATTTTGTACCTGAGTTACATCAATTCTATAAGCTTTCAAATTGTCATCACCCTATATATGGCCAATTGGACATGGTATCAGAGGTAATCATATGAATCCTCATGTTGATGATCAAGACCCATACTGTGTCAAATAATTGGCTGATTCTAGCCGTTTGTTTTCAAGTTTTCAGTGATTGAGTAAAAATCAAAATTCTGATGTTTTCAATATTTGTCTTTTCCCAAGAATATTACCTTGTCATGATGGAATGCAATACTCTGTATGTGATATTATCCTCTGACCGAATAGAGGGATTCATGAGGTAGATATTAGACGTGAAGAGTTCATTCCTACTGAAGAATAATCATGACTTAGAGCACATAATTCAAATTGATGCAAAATATTCTAAACAGCCAAAATCTAATGTTTGACACCCTGTAGCTCGAAAACTGGTCATAGGATCGATCTGTAAATTGGACTGTGTGATAAGGACGATAATGTCTTAAACATATCAAATTTTCAGAAAATTTAGCCGAAAGCCATTTTACGTACTAAATGTGCGGGGTCCTTTACCATTCACTTGGTATCACATGGCACAGTTCTCATCTCATGATCAAATCATGAAATTGAGTGCTCAGGATTGTGATTGGCACAGGTGATGTTCCATAAATACAATGTTTTTACATGCCTTTGGTACATATAACATTTCTTTATCAGATGATGATGGAAATTTGCAGCCCGCTCTCCTACTACCACTAGATGGATAACTTAGTGAGTAACAAAAATGTTGACACTGCCAAACAACTGAAAACATTTCCCAAATGTTTGGAATGATATATTATATCAATAATAATAATAATTATAACCTGGCATCACCCAGGTGAAAATCTGTAGGTGAAAATCTGTACATTATCACCCAGGTGGAGGTCTGATGTACCCCATAATTAGAAACAGGAGGAAAAAAACCATTAGAAATGTTTCAAGTTTTGAATGTGAAATGAGCTTTTAGATGTATTTACATCATAATTATAACTAGAAACTTTTTATAATAAGTTTAGTTCATGAGATATATGAGATAAATGGGAAAAACATGATATCTTTGAAACCAGTTAAAAAATTATGCAACACTCAATGGGCGTGTACACCTTAGTAGAACCCTTAACTCAAACCATGTTTATAATGATCCTTTTAGACATAAATAATGATTGACAACATAATTAGATCCAAAAATTGACTGGAATGTTTTATTTTTGGACATAAATAATAGTACCTTCTGAAAACGGCCCCTCTTATGACATAGAAACCTCATCTCGCCATAGTTGAAAGAAAATGCCAAACGCCAGACAGAGACTGAGGTAACTGATATATTAATTCTTTCAACTGTGACCTTGCGCTAATTCACTCTGTCAGAAATCATGTATCATTCATCTCTGTCTGGAATAGTCTTGTTTCAGTATCAGGGTTTTGACGTCACATCATTGCCTTGTTTTCAGAGATCCGAAAAATCTGGGATTTCAATATTTTTTCATAAAACGTAGGGAGCTCACAGCAAGAAACGGTTTGCGGTGGTGAGCTAGTTCGGTGAGTTCCATAGAATTATGAAATAAATTTTTTTTGTGATATAAGCCCATTCTGTAAGATTTCATACAAACCTAAATATTGAACTGTTCAAATTATCAGCTAGAAAAGTAGCATGAAGTATATGAAAAAAACGAAAAATCATTCATTTTCATATATATATCTAGAATAAAATGTACATCTTTGTGACAATTGTGACAGAGGTGAGGCTTCTCAGACCCAGAAGCTGTTTACTGCACTCTGCACTGTTACTATCTTGGTAGCTAGCTGAAGACTGAATTCATACCAGAATATCACAGAATGAAGTGTTTTGGGAAGCTATAGGCAACCAATGAAATGTGTGTGCATTCAAATTGAAATGTTGGTGATTTAAAATTTGTCTGGCCATCTGAGACCCCACCTGGGTGAAGCCAGGTTAAAGATAAAAACTGCTATACCTTCTACAATGATAGCTGTACTGAAGTTGAAATTGAAAAACATCTGGTTCAATGCCCAACCATAATGCCTAGCTATCTTGAAATATCCCTTGAATTTCTTCTCTTTTGGAGGAACTTGAATATCTGACTGATCTGGTTGTTGAATCAGAGATAGCTGTGTTCCATACTTTAGAATGACATCCCGTGTTTCTTCATGATTACAATCCTGAGAAAAAGAGAAATTTTGAAAAAGTAGTTATTATTGTAGAATTGAATTATACCTGACTAACAATGATAGGGAATTGATCCGGATCAGGCCTATACTTGATCAAGCCATCCAAACACCTATTAACAGTTACCCTATTACAGGCAAAAACAAGAATGGGGATCTTAACATTTTGAAGTTCCATTGCCAACAAATTGGTTCTATGTTCTGCTTTCTTCTTTAATTCTAACAATTTCTGAGCACGATTTATAATAACATTATTCCTTTCAAACTCCCCTGATATGCTTTGTTCTAAAATCACAATTTGGTGGTCTACATCTTCATCATCCTTGGAAGGAATAGGGCGGATGGATAAGGAAATATACAATAATGATGACCATATTATCAAAATTATTCCTATTACTAAAGATGTGCGTTTAATTCGCATTTTAAAATTGACTCAAGGGGACCTGAAATAATATAAAATATAACTATGATATAATAAGTACTATAAGTATGTAAAAAAATCAATTCCACCTTGTCTATCATATTGCCGGCAGAAACGTAGTGAGAAATTCCTGTTCCTGCTACATTATTTGATGAATTATATATCTCAATTCAGTCAATTCTCAAGCAATCTTCATCTGGGCAAAGAAATCAGATAAATAATATCAAATTTCTGAATTTGAATAATTTCTTTTGGTGACAATGACAAAACAAGTCGACAACTCGGAACCAATGTTGCCAACTCAGATTTTCAAAAGTCGCAGTACGGACTACCTGAAAAACACCAAACCTTACGGAATCGAAAACTGCGCCGCAGGCGGACACTTTTGCAAATCTAGTGTATCTGGTGATTACTTCAGTTCAAATCACTAGATTATATCCAATGAACTCAATATAATCAGATAATGTAAGTCTAGCTGGTCAACGGATCTTGGCCTTACGATATATAAATGAATGTGAAAAAAGTGTTTTTTTTTCCAACAAGAAACAAAACAAATGCTTCATTACATCAATGCTGCGGATAAAACAATTAGAAATAAAAAAATCATTTGATATTCTACAAAAAACAGCCAAAATGTGGATATAGCCGTTGGACAGTGATTTGTACGAAGGCCTGGAAGGGTCCTCAACCACCAGATTTCACCAATTATTTGAGAAAATTCACCAAAATAATCACCATCGAATAATCACCATCCAGTAGATGCATAGATGTCATATTTTGTCACAAAACGAAATCAAACCACCAGTTCTAGTGTGAAATCCACTAAGTTGGCAAAACTGCTCGAAACTTGATCTAAGACCAAGGTCATTGGTTGAGTTCTTTCATATAATCTACTACTCATATATGAAGCATAGATCTCCTCAAAGCGGGAGGTAACGAAATCGGCCAAAATGCGTTGATGCCGACGTAGGGGAAACATAATAGGATACTAGTCAAACCATATACAGGGTGTTAACAAATAAGTGTCACAACGAAAAACTGTAGATTCCTCATAATAAAAGAAACATTTCTTTCCTCTTCAAAATTTCTCTCCAGGCTTCCGTTTTCAAGATACAGGGTGTCAAAAAATGAAAAATGTTCAGTTTAATTAAACACACCATACAACACTTAATAAACTTGACAATTTGAAAACCAGCATATGCAAGAACCTAGCATTTGATTGAACATATTCTTAGACCGTTCTGAGGTGTTTATTTCCAGTGGATTTTCAGACGATTTTTGGAGATACCATCAGGATTTTGTATCTTCATATTCATAAAGAGCCATTTTTCGCAGAAACTATTCACTTTAGAGCATTGAGACAAGAGGACGTTTTTGTGTGAAAGATATTGGCGCTTCAGAATCTACTTTGAAAATTACTATTTCTCCAGTGGCATAAATGTTTGGGGGGTTAAACCCTCACGAGGCGTTGAATTCTCCTCCACTGACATGTCCAAGGAAATTGATCAAGAGCCCTAGAAGTAGTGATAATTGATGATGAAGTGTGTACGAAGGCTTAACTCCGTAGCTCAAACGGTTCCTAAGATAGTAGCAAAAAACAGATTGTTTTGTATTATTTTGACGCCCTGTATCTTGAAAACGGAAGCCTGGAGAAAAATTTCGAAAGGGAAAAAAATGTTTCTTTCATCATGAGTAATCTACAGTTTTCCGTTGTGACACTTATTTGTTAACACCCTGTATTATATGAGTTCTTTGCAATCGAACAATCCGATAGATGTGTCATGTCAATTAATGTCAATCAGATACCAAATGTCACAGTGGTCACGTTGATTCGCAGACGCCAAGGTCATTCTATGACGTTGCGATGACATTGAAAACTACGGGAAAACATCCTAATCCCCATAGTAAATTGAAAGAATATGAGAAATGAGTAGATGGTGCGCATACTCGGCCTCTTTTACGTATTGAAAACTTAAAAACAATCCATGAAAAATCACTCGACCGCTTACTATGATTTCTCTACGTCACATCAAGCGAGACGTCACATCTACAGTCGTATTCAATAAAAAAGCATACAAGTATTAAAAAGAGAGGATTTCGGGATCCTAGTTCTATGTAGTTGTGTAAACTGGCTCAATTGGCTCAACCAATGCTTTGTGTTTTTGGGAACCAATGACAACTTTACTGTCAACATTTGGTAAGCAATCGTTCCCGATAGCCCGTTTTATGCAGAATAGGATGACGTTAATTTCTCTCTGTAATATACTTGTACGCTTTTTTTCTGAATGCGACGTACTTCTTTCCGCTAGTTGGTGATGCTGCCAATGCTGGTGTGTTGAGTGTGACGACTGAAAAATTAGTGAAAATACAATGGCAAAGGGCATTTTAGGTTCGCGAAATATATGCAAAACTGGGTTTATTTCACTCACAATTCGAAAGAATCTGTAAATTGACAGATGTCATAGTTGTTAAATTCTAAATTAAAAAAAAACTGTTCTATCCGTCATTCGGTTGCCCCCTCACGGGCAACCCTCAGAAATCTTCAAGAGTCTTGTGCGAGCAAGTAATGACGGGGGCCCTACCTTTTAACGTGTGATCTCAAACACTTTCTTGGGCCATCAGAAAAATGTTTGCAGTCGATGGGAATCGAACCCACGACCGGCAAGCGAATGCGGAATAGAATTATGACACTCTGTCCGCACGGCTACATGACCTGTTAGTCCATCCTTGTCACCATATATTAAAAGATCATCGAAACCATTGTTCTCGCGAAGTCGGAGAGATCGAGAAGATGAAAGCTTTGAAATTTCGTATTTTTAGTGGCCCTTCTGCGTTATCGTAGGAACATTGGCTATATTTCGAATTCAACTGGTCAGTAAACTGTCAGTAAATCCACTGACTCCACTAATATATCTGAATATGATTTCACAGTTTTCATCACTAATCAGCAGCATTTGATCAGCTGGTTGAGCTGGTAAACTTTATCAGTTGTCAGGTTCTGTATTTGAGCACTATTTGAGTATTCTCTCGGAAGGTGCATTTCTGCGTTAACGTATGGGGTCACGAACAATTTTTTCTCTTTTTGAAAAGTTAATATAATGACTATCTCATTATAATTCCTTTTTTCTCATTGGGATGACTTTTTTGCATTATAAATTACTTTTTCTCATTATAATGGCTTTTTCTCATTATATTGAATTTCTTCTTATTATAATAACTTCCTTCTTTATACGGAGAAAAGTCATTATAAGGACGAAAAAGTCGATATAATTAGAAAAAATCATTATAATGAGAAAAAAGTCCATTTTCACTCACAGGTGTACGTAACTGCGGTAAATTTGTCATTTAATTTGAATTCGTTCTTCTGGGATCTGTGAGTTCTGTGACCTCAGCGCCTCCTTCCTTGGGCTTGGTCGCCATTTTGTGGCCATTTTGTTGTTTGTTCTGTTCGCGACAGTTTGGCTGGGAGTTTGAGATTTTGAGATCGTATTTTATAATTATAACATCACTCCTTTTCGAAACTTTGATTGTTAATATATTCCAATCTGAAGTTGTTAGTGGTGAAGATAAGGGTGAAGACATTGAAGTTTATTGGTCAAATCGATCTAAAAATCTTTGATGATGGAAGAGAGCGAGGAGACCATTTCTCCTGGTATGTATCACAATGCATGGTTATTTGTTCCAAATAACTTCTTTTCTCTCATCCATTAAAATATGTAAATGTTCTTTAGCTAGAAGAACAACTCGTTCAAGAAAGGTAACAAAAACTCCTGTTGTTAAGTCGCCAAAAGCAAAACCGGCCACTAGGCGGACTCGTAAAAAAGTGGTACTCATGGAGGTAGAAGTCTCAGATGAAGAGGAGGAAACTCCACAGGAGGTAGATGTTTCTGAGGATGATAAACAGCAGGAAAATACAGAAAAGGAGAGTCCTGATTGCACTGAGAAAGAAAGTGAAGAGACAGAATCCAAGCAAAAATCTAAAGAAATGGTAGATGTGAATGGCAGTGAAAATAATGATGATGGAGCTGTACCTGACTCTACAGAGGATTCTGTTACTGTGGTAAATATAAGCTTCCACTAATGACAATACAAACATCTTTAGTGATAGTCTTTCATTCTGAACCAACTGAAATATTACACCAGAACTGATCTGAATCAGTTAACATGCATTCTTGCATATAACCATCAATTTCCTTATGTAAGACTTGATGGAAAGTTGATGTAATTTAGAAGGGTAATTTTTACTTATCTTGCTTGCAATTGTTTTTTTTTTCAAATTTCTTGGTAAAAGTGCCCTTTTAATTTTTACTCATCATGCAATGTTTTTTTTTCAAATTTCTTGGTAAAAGTGCCCTTATCATGAGAAGGGTTTTTTTTCTTGAAAATTGAACAAGATAGATAAGTTGTAAATGAATCTAAAACATAGGTGACAAAAGAAGGTGAAATTTTTATTTTTTTCGTAAAATATCTGAATAAATAGCATTTTGTTCAGATTTTCATTTGTGAAATTCCTGTATTTGAGACAAAAATACAAAAGTACCAAACAATTTTTTCTAATAAAAACCATCCCATGATGAGTGCATTTCTACCATTTTTCTTTTACCTACATATTTTTGTCTGAAAAATGAAATTATTAATGAGAATGGTGAACAAACCACTATTTATCAAGATATTTCCCCCAAAAAATCAATATTTCACCTTTTTTTGCCTGTTCAGGATATTTATTTAGAACTGTTTGCCCTTCTTTTTTCATCATTGGACAATTCATATATCACAATGTCCTTCAATGACCCATGTTAAATATGAAAATTGACTAGAAATAAGATTTCCTTGTGATTTTCCATATTCAGTGAACAATCACATGTGCTAGCAACCATTCTGCCATTCAGTTATCAAGGACATGTCAAATGTGCAAGAATTCAATTTCAAACAACTAGTTTCAATCTTTATAGTGGAAAAAAGATAGAAGAAGGAAGAATATCATTTAAAATAATGTGTGTAAGCAATTTGTCTGCAGTTTATGTTCTTAGAAAATCTGTTGCCATTTGACATTTAACAAAAATGAAATGGCCATCAGTTGGTATGATTGTTCAGTGAATATGAAAAACTCACCAAAAATAGTTTTTTATTATACAAGGCAAAAAAGTTTTAGATTTTAGCTCAAGATTGTGAGTGGAAATCTAATATTTTTCTTGTGTATAATACACAATTTTTTTCTGAGAAGATATTACATTATAAAATAATATTGATCATAATTATGTAGGTGTAAACATACTCAGTACAATACAATCAAGTAGCCATCAACCTGAGTCTCCTCTTTTTGAAATGTTATCATTTCCTTTGAGTGGAATAAAAAGTGGAAACAGTTTTTGTAAAAAAAAGATGATTTTAGGTAATTAATAAACACTATGGAATTTCAGTTAGATCATGAAGTAGCATTATCAGTGACTTTTCTGGAAATAGGTCTAACATAACTCTTTCTCAGAATCAGTGGAGGCAAATTTTTTAGACAGTGTTGGTAGTCTATCCAAGGCTTTTTTAATGTCTAGAAAAACCCCACTGGAGCATTGGATGTTGATTCTAGCTGTTTGTATATTGGATGCCAGAATAACTAATGGATGGAGTGTGGAACAGTTTTCTTTGAATCCAAATTGATATGGTGGAATTTTTTGTCTCACCAATTCAAAAGCTTGTTCTTAATCAATTTTTCCAGAAGCTTTATTACATTATATTAAAATCAGAACATTATCAACATGAAATTTGAAGTTCTTAACAGGAATTATTACACCTGCATTGCAGGCATCTTTATCATTCTTTTAAAGTAATCAAATATCTGTCACTCTAATTCTGTGATTTGATTACAAAAAATTGCCTACTTTGTGGTTTTGAGTGATTTACATAACCCTGATGTGGAATGGAAGATGAAAGGACTTGCAGTTATTTCTCAGAGATGATGTTATTGGGGGTTATTTATCAGAACTAGCACAACAAAAGCCATCAACAGTGTGTATATACCGGGTGTCCCATTTTAATCTTTATTTGGAAATTTCTCGAAATGTATGCATCTGACAAAAAAAAAATTGCTGAATAAAAGTTGTATGGTTTGAAATGTCTGGTTATAAAACAAGTTTCACCCCCTGACCCCCAAGAAGGTGGAAAATGGGGGTAGCATTGAAATTTCAAATGGAAACCCCATTTTTTTATTGCAGATTCTGGAAGAGCATAAAAAACTATGGAGGTTTTATTCGGTAACTTTTTTTTTATTTTCACAAGATGGCGCTGCAATCGTTAAAAACAATATTTTACTATTTAGTTTGTAGTTGGGTGACTTTTTATCATTAAAAGATATCAAGCAGTTCGAATTAACACATTTCAACACCCTGAAGACAAGAAAGAGTGTAGGGTGTGATATTCCCCAGACTAACGCCGTTGGGGTGATATTTTTATTGCAGATTCACACGGTAAGTGATAATTTTCATTGTATGGTAACACCATGCAAAAACAATTTAAATCTGTCACTGTCTCGCGATGTCGGATTATTTACCGAACGAGATTGTAAATATGATTATGGCTGAGCGCGAATATCGACGTCGATTTCCGGATCGGCGTTTGTCTGGGAAAATATCACACCCTACACTCTTCCTCGTCTTCGGGGGGTTGAAATGTGTAAATAGTGAAATATTGTTTTTTACGATCGCAGCGCCATCTTGTGAAAATAAAAAAGGAGTTCCCGAATAAAAGCTTCATAGTTTTTAATGCTCTTCCAAAATCTGCAATAAAAAATAGGGGTTTCCATCAAAGAGTTCAATGTTACCTCCATTTCCCACTCCCCTAGGGGTCAGGGGGTGAAACTTGTTTTATAACCAGACGTCCCCCTCCAAACCATACAACTTTTATTCGGCAATTTTTTTTGCCAGATGCTTACATTTCGAGAAATTTCCAAATAAAGATTAAAATGGGACACCCGGTATATATCCTAGAAAAAAGTAATTTATGGAAAGTGACATTTTTTAACCTGTCAGCAGGGATGAAATGTCAAACTTCCATCATATTTCTTAGCTATATTTCTAAAATTTGGTACATTGAATATGCTCACTAGAGGGCAGGGTCTCACATTCGGGGGTGGTTGGCCCCCGATCCAACCAAAATGATCATATTAACTTGAGTTTTGTGAATTATTAGTTAACTTGAGTTTTGTGAATTATTAGTTAAATTCAAAAAATAATATCTTTTGATTGGAAATTGTCTATAACAATTTATAGCATCACTGAGCATGGTATCCACCCTACATGTTCGGCAATGTCCCCCAAACTGTTTTTTTCAATTACAGTAACTTGTGACATAGGCCGAACGGTAAGTAATGATTCAAGACCCAGAGATTTTCAATACAACTTCACCCACGCCTCCCCCACCATGAAGGTGGAAATTGGGGGGTTCTTATACTGCTGAGTATGAAGAAATGAGACACAAAAAACATGTTGTAGCCCGGTCTATAAAATGCCCATTCGCATTCCAACATATGGCAACTGTGTTATTGTCTACCCCTACTTAGGACTTTACCCATCTTTTGCCAATATTGCCTTGAGGCAATGTTTATTTTTCACACTTGTCGAAGAATGGATAATTGGACATTGGGTACTGTTGTACAGAGGATTGCAACATTTCATTATATATATAACAAGAATTATTGGATATAGTATACAAGATGTGTAAATAAATGCATGAAAATTGTCATTATATGTCAGCATTAGTACGTCAAATCTTGAGGTTGCAATGTCGTCAGCCAAATCTTCTTTGTCAGAACATCAACAAATTATAATTTTTCATTAAAATTTGTTGACAACTATATACAGTGCCACTTTGCATCGTATAACACGTTGTATTTCATTTTCCTAATCAATAGAGCTATTTCTTCTGATTGATGAAAATATAGGATATGGTTCCTTAGCTCATTTTGATGAAAAGTTTACATGAACATATGCCCTAAACCTCTTAACTTTCGAGCTATAGGATGTTGAAATTTCATTTTCTCTACTGATCAAAGAAACTTTCACATTGTAAAAAACGGTCAAGTTTATGAATACTTGTCATAATAAGACCACAACATAATCAATGAATGCCATTTTTTTAAATACAAAATAGGGCACTAGCCTACTAGTTCAAGATGATATTGTGATGCCACAATGAATGATAATATAATTTATTTTTTTACGCGCAAACGGTTTGTCGGGCGGAAAAAAATCAGGCGGTCAAATTGTTGCAAAATAATTGAGGATTTCAAAAGTTATTTTTATTTTCGAAAAAATCATGGGCGTTAAATATATATTTTTTCAAACCTCCTGGATACATCCCATACGGACGCCACTGGTAGGTGCATGTCAAATTTGATGAAAATATCTAGAACAGTATTGAAGTTATGATAAGAAAACGAAATTTTTCTTAAAATAACACCCTATAGCTCGAAAGTTGAGAGGTTTAGGGTATATGTTCTTATGCACTTTTCTTTTTAAAATGACCTAAAGAACCATATCCTTAATTTTCAGCCATCAATTAAATTACACCCTGAATACTTTAGTGAGGTTATTTCTGTTAGTTTTCGAAAAAGGCAGCTGTAGAGCCCCATAAATCGCAGCATTGTCGTCTGGCGTTCTACAGCTGCCCTAGATTAATTAGGAAAAAAGCTATATTTTTCGGAAACTGTCAAAGATAACCTCAATAAAGTATATACAATGAGCACATAAAGGTTGGAACAAATTCGTTTAAAGCTTCATATGGCCAGTGGGAAAACAAGATCAGACACGTCGATTTTCTTTTTAGTAGCGCATTTTATGGTCTCATATTTTTGATGACGTCATCACTGTTCGAGTTATGACGTAATTATCATTTTTTTGGAATAACACTACCCTATCCTGATAATACCTTCAAGAAGAACGTATTTTTCTGGGTATGGACATCATATTTTTTTCTTTATTTTTTCTCTTGTTACATAACCCTATTTTTTTTTTTTAACAAATGCGTATCTGAAAAAGACAATCGTCCTATCAGAGATTTTTTCCCTTTTAATGAGTTTGTTCCAACCTTAATGTGCCCACTGTATCAAGTAGGAAAATGAAATACAGGGTGTTCCAGTTGAAAAATACAAGTTAGTGTGAAAATTTTGGGTTTATAATGCTTTTTTTGCATTTCCTAGTACTGAATTTTGAGTGCCCATTAAAATACTTCATATTTGCCCATTTTAACGTTTTTGTAAGACCAATATTAACTGAGATAGCTTTTGAGAAAAATATAAACAATCATCCTGTACATGACATTCAGGGACATCCAGAGTAGGGAAGAATAAGTACCATGTTGAATTATTGTGCCAATGTGCATAACAGGTTCATTTCATAGTGATTGATGCCACAAATATTTAAGTATCTAGAAACATATCTTGCCTCCTAATATCATTTTTCGGAAATATCAGTGATTCCATCAATACTGGCGAGCTGTAAATATCACTGACGATAATCCCATTTTGGTCATAGGGTGTCTCTTCAGTCTTCATAGCATTTTTGCTCCTGCTAATTCCAGAATTATGGTAAGGATGTATCCATCAGAAGTGAGACACACTGTATAGTGACTCCCCAACCGAATGTGGCTCCTATATTGATTTTCTCCTTATAAAACAGCATTTTCTGAATTATATTCATGATTGATTGTGTTTTTCTCTTTATAAAAAAAAAGTTGAACATCATTTTTCACGGGTATGTAGCATGGATAGTATTAAGATGAAAATGGAATAGAATATTTTTTGTTTAGAATCGTCATATCTGAATTATTGTATTTGGGATGGAAAATCAATAAGAATCTGATATAATCGCAATACACATTTTGGAGCAAGATTGTTTACAATAATTTAAACTGCTGCCGAATGTCTGGCATAGCCTTGGGGACTTTTGAGATATTATTCTGGACACCAATTCAATATACAGTGTGACCAAAATAATGTTGTACAGTCTGGGGTTCTCGGAAAGGGGAGAGATAATTCGGAATTTTTGGAAAATGTATTATATTTTGTCTCTACGTTATTGTTGGAGATGCAGAAAATTGAAAATACTTTTCCATTGCAAATTTTGATGAGATGTAACGTGGGTATATTGATTCTCTACGCGACCTTTCATACTCGTAGAACCACCATCAACTTTTTTTTTTTAAATGAAAAAATGAAAATAGGGTATTTATCTAGCCTTAAGTTGGTCTTGCAATCCCAATGTATCGAATTGGTGAAAAATCCATTGAAAAGGAATATTCTCAGGTATATGAACATGAAAAAATGGATAGGTACATATTGAGAAATACATTGAGAATTCGTATTCTATCTGATAAAAATATGAATTCTTTCTCGGTATATTCAACACCTTCCTGGCTATACGCGATAGAAAATAAGCGTACGCCACTTATCGGAGTTCTCGAAAGCTGTCAAAGCGGCCTGTTTACTTGGTTTTTCTTTTTATTGGTTCACATTTGTTTTTTGTTTGTGCTTATTGGTCATATCATCAGAACAAACCGCTCAGAAGTTTCAAGTTTTGTCGTCAGGTGGGGCGACGTGTTATTTTCTATCGAGAATATGCCACAACGAACATTGAATTATATCTACACAATAAGAATTTGTAATAAAATCACCTCAATTCAGAATTTCTTTTCGCGACCTGTACGATGGATATCACTTCATCATACACTAAAAACAAAAAATCCATGTTTTCAAAAATGGCTCTGCTGAGTTCGCCCGAAGCTACAAAGCCACAGTTTTCTCTATATGATGAATACGAAATATGGGAATAGGGTAATGAATTAGCCTAAGATAAGCACTTCAAATGGCTTTGGCTTTGCGGGGTTCGGCCGACCGATTTTTCTATGATGCGCGTTTCCAAGGTTGTATATGGTCCAGCTAGATGCTTATGTCAATAATGGGTAACACTGGGTCGCAACTAGTGATGTGCCGAATAGTGATTTCGCCGAATACCTAATATTTGGTAGGACCAACGTGCCGAATACCGAATGTTCGGCAACTATTCGGCAGAGCGTCATCGATTCCTGCACCACAATTTGCCATTATTGAATTTTGAATACAATATGTGAAGTAATCAATATCAAAATGTGTTTTTGGTCGATTGAGTTACTTAGATTATCTAACTGCTTATGTTTGTTATTTTTAACGTAGTTCACGTATTCTAAACTGCTGGATTATTTATGATTTTGAGAAATATATATAATTGAACGATTTTTTTTTACTTTTTACTTTTTATCACAAAATATTAGAGAATAGAAATGAATGAACTATTCAGCATTCGGCCAGCAGAGCAAAACTTCCAAAGAAAAATATTTTGCATTTTCATGTTGAGAACGGGAGCAGATTCGTTCCCGAACCGTCCAAAGCTAAGTGAAAATTTGATATTTTTTCTATATACCTTTATTTCTCTTCTCCAAACCTTTTTCTATGCAAACTATCACTGACAAGCTGGTGAATTTTTCTTTTAGGCTCTCTGATAGGAACATTCTTTAAACGCAGTGACATTTTGGGGCAAATCATTTGATCATATTTTAATTTTATAGAAACAAGGAGAGAAAATCCCAAGAAATTTGGAATAATGAGCCTTGAAATAGCCTTAAATTATGTTGTACTCAATATCCTTATATTCCTTCTATTTGTGATTTGGTTCCGCTAGCTTATACGGTTAAAATAGCAAAACCGATGTTTTTTTTTTTCCAAACAATGTGAGGAAAAATCGGCAGTAGGCTAGGATTGGATCCTCAAATTATCCTCAAATTATGGTATAATTAGTTTTGTGATTGGTCTCTTTTTGATTTGCTACTGGTTTATCATGTTCATGTTGGATTTAGGAAAATTTTTGCAAAAAATAATGAAAAAAATATCGATGATAGGCTCAACAAATAGCCTTAAATTATGGTGTACTCAGTACCCTTATATTCCTTCTATTTGAGATTTGATTTTGCTAGCTTGACGGCTAAGCTAGCAAAACTCCTGATTAAAAAAAGCCGAAAAAGTCGGCAATAGGCTAGCTAGGATTGGAGATTTAAATTAGCCTCAAATTATGGTATAATTAGTTTCGCCATAAAACTTTTTTTATTTACTTATGGTTTCCTGTTGGATTTGTGAAAATTTTTGCAAAAAATGATTAGGAAAAAAATCGATGATAGGCTTAACAAAGAGTCTAAAAATTGCTAGCTTAATGGTTAAGTTAGCAAAACCCATTATAAACAAAACGAAACATTTGCGAAAAAATCGGCAAAGGCTAGGCTTGGAGCCTCAAATTAGCCTCAAATTATGGCATAATAAGTTTTGTGATGGAACTTTTTTCATTCACTATAGGTTTGTCATGTTCATGTTGGATTTGTGAAAAGTTTTGCAAAGAATGGTTATAAAGAAAATCGATGATAGGGTCAATAAAGAGCCTTGGTATACTAAATATTCTTATATTCCTTCTATTTTATATCGTGTTCTGCTAGCTTGAAGCTAGAAGAACCAATAATCAGCAATAGCCTAGGATCGGAGACTTAAATTAGCCTTAAATTATGGTATAATTAGTTTTGTGATTCACGAAGTGGTAGCAGAACCCACGATTTCTGCATAAATCAAAGAACAATAAATTATGCAATAATTATGTAATGAATTAGCCTCGAATTAAAGCCGAAAAAAAATTGTAAAGTGGTTCTGCTAGCTTAATGGAGGTCAAAAGTTGCTATGAAAAATTATTTTCAGTTTTTCTGTATCTCTAATACTTGAGTGAATCAAAGAACTTTAAACTATTATAATGAATATGTTCATTTAGAGAAAGGACATTATTGTTCTGTAAAGAAGCATTAATTTCAAAAATTTCAAGGGGCTCCTTTTTGACAAAAATGTAGTACTGTCAAATCAGCGTCCATGTTGTTAGGGGGCTCTTTAGTTTTTTACTATCCACCATAATGCCCATCTATGGGGGTTTTTCATCGTTATCCCCCTAGGAAAACAATTAACCATTTTACTTTTATATTTTTAATTCTCTACGGTTATTAGAAATTTCTTTCACCTTCAAGCAATCTATGGTAAGGATTGCTCTGGTTACTTATTTAATTTTTTTCTCATTGTAGGACTATGTAATTTCTTATTAGGCTGATGATGGACATATGTCCGAAAACATGCTTCCTTGATGTGATTATTCAAAGTGATCCCGTGAGTTTTCACAATAAATTGTCGTGCAGATGACTTTGTGTATTATTCAGTATTAACCACTGTACTCCACTTTGAGAAACAATGAACTTCTACCACAGATTGATACCGGGTTTGATGAGATTTTTTCAAACGACTACGAAGATAGGGCGAAAAATCAAACGATTCAATCAGAAATGAATTTGTGATTTTCTATTTCATTTCATCCATATTCACAATTGGCGACTCATAAACCTGTTGATTCATGTAGCCCCCCCAAATATTCACTGTCAAATTATTCTCATTACTTTATTATTGGATAAGTATCTACAGGACGATATTTCTTCCGCTTCCATTATTCAAATATTTCTTCGGTCATATCTTCGTTGTCATTTTAAAAAAATTCCATCAAACCCGGTGTTGTTGAATTTGTAATAAAGAGCTCTCTTTAAATATGGAATAATGTACTGGGTGTCTCTTTTCCAAATAGGGGCACTTCGGTGTGACCGCGTTAACATACGATTTATTCAATAGCAATACATTTGAAATATTGATGATCAAAAGTACTAACTTGAAATATCTATTCATCAGGTATAAAATACTAACTTAAAATATCTATTTATCAGGTATTTAACGATGTTGATATGTTGGAAGGAGCAGATGATTCAAACTCCAGAGATCAAGATGATGAAGATGATGAGAGTAATATTACTGAATCTAAAGTTGGGAAGAAATCTGATGATAAAATGGAAGTAGAAACTACATCAGTGGAATTAGTAGATACTACAACATCAGTGGAATTGGTAGAAACTAAGAAAACTGCAATAAAAGAGTCTCTTGAAGCACATGCTACCAAAGATGAAAAGAAGGAGCCTCAACCAGTTGTGGCAGAACAAACTGAAACCTCAACAAAAGTAGATTTATCTGAAGTGACTAAAGCAAATGATGAAATTAAAAAAGAATCCATAGCTGATAAGCCACAGAAAGATCCAGTAATACTTCATACACCAGAGGTGCAGGAGACAAAAATGGAAGTTGATGAGGTACTTGAAGATAAAATTGCTGAGCAGAAGGCTGAAAAGAAAACTACTATCAAAGATTTAGCACAAAAACAAATAAGTGCAGATACAAAAAAATCTGCTACAGAGGTTGATGAAAAAGCTGTTGTCAAAGTTGATGAAAAAGCAGTTGTCAAAGTTGATGAAAAAGTAGTTGCCAAAGTTGAAGAAGCAGTTATTAAAGTTGAAGAAAAAGCAGTTGCTGATGTTGAAGAACAATCAGTTACAGAAGTTGAAAAAAAATCAGTTACAAAAGTTGAAGAGAAAGTAGTTGAAGTTGAAGAGAAAGTAGCTAAAGTTGAAGAGAAAGTAGCTAAAGTTGAAGAGAAAGTAGCTAAAGTTGAAGAGAAAGAAGTCAAAGTTGAAGAGAAAGTAGTCAAGGTTGGAGACAAAGCAGTCACTAAAGTTGAAGAGAAACCAGTTACTAAAGTTGAAGAAAAACCAGTAACTGAAGTTCAAGAAAACCCAATTAGTGGAGTTGAGGAAAAGCCAATTACTAAAGCGGAAGAAGAACCTATGTGTGTTGATGAGGAAAAAATAATGCAAGAGGGGGAAAGCAAAACAACTCCAAAAGCGGGAAAATCAGAGAATAAAGCTGAGCTTGAAATGGGAGATGAAACGAATGAACAGAAGGAAAGCATCGAAGATCAAGCAGAGAAGAACAATAAACCGGTAATTTGTTTGCACTTACCATTATTGCAAAATTGATTAATATATGTATTTTTTAAAGGGTGATACAGATGCTGAAAACATTTCTGAAGATGAATTACCAGTGGTGCAAGCTGTGAAAGTACCTGAGGCTGAAGAAGTTTCTGATGAAGAACTTCCAGGTCCAAAAAGAGCGGAATTGCCCGCTGATACTGAAGTAGTTTCAGAGGATGAACTTCCCACAGTGAAAACTGAGACCAAAAAGGAGGGCACCAAACGTAAATTAGATGCCACAGATTATGATCCTGGCTCTCCTACGTCTGAAAATGAGGCTCCCGCGAAAAAACCTTCACTGGAGGCTGCTACCGAAAAAGAAAAGGATGAGAAACCGAAACCTAAGAAGTTGCCTGAACTGGACAAATACTGGAAGGCTGTTAATGATGATCCAACTGATTTCACAGGATGGACTTACTTATTGCAGTATGTGGATCAAGAGGTAAATTTTCTAGTCATCTGTTACTGTTGATTTTGAATTCATTATCATTTCATTTATAATTGTTACTATACATCCACTGACAGTAATTAGTTCACAAAAAAAGGATAAAATAATATTAGGTAATGATCTATCTAAATGAATGCTTCTCAAATACACTAGAAAATAGGTTCATCAAATTACCCTAAGCTAATACCCTGTACATTGAAAATATATAAACCGGCCATTATGATCCATAACTCTTGCTTACTTTTCAGAATGATATGGAGGCCGCGAGAGAAGCATATGATGCATTTTTATCTCATTACCCCTACTGTTATGGTTATTGGCGGAAATATGCAGACTATGAAAAAAGGAAGGGCAACAAAAAGAAGTGCGAGGAGGTATGTATCATTTTCTTCCTCTGTCGAATATCCGTGGAATGCTTATTAAACTCACTATAATTATTTTGCAATCCCTACAGCTCGGCGTTCGTGCGGCAGCTGAAAAAAATCAATATAGTAGTGAATACATTACATGTTATTGTTATTGTAACCTTATTATTTGTATGTTATTTAAGTTGTTTGTTAATATTTTACACCCTATCATTATTAGATTTGATATATCTGATATAATAACGTCAAATTGTACTGGGATGTAAAATTCTGGACGAATCTTTCCTAGAGTCCTAGAGGGGCAATGCTTGATCAGCGAGACTGCGTCGCTGGAGGGGGTTTAAGTTCCAGATCCAAATGTAAGGAAACAAGTTATCCTCGAGATATGATAGGTTTCATATTCATTTAAAACACAACAAATACTTTATATGTCAAAACTCCTCTTTCAGCTCCGAATACCAGTTGATGTGTATTGATTTGATAAAATCTAAATTTAATCGTGGTAAGCGACAGGATACACATCATCTGAACGATTTGTTGCATTCTCTAATTTCGAGTTGTAAAAGGTGTTCGAGAGGGGACTGAAAGCCATTCCGTTGTCGGTTGATTTGTGGATCCACTATCTGACTTACGTGAAAACGACGCGGACCGAAGACGAGGAATTCATCAGGTCACAGTTCGAGAGGGCGCTGACGGCGTGCGGGTTAGAGTTCAGGTCTGACAGGCTGTGGGAGTCCTACATCAAGTGGGAGACGGAGGGGAAACGGTTAAGGAAAGTGACCGCTATTTACGACAGATTATTGGCCACGCCCACTCAGAGCTATACCAGTCATTTTGACAGGTAAGTTGATGAACTTCGATATCTTTGGATTTGTTTGTGATAGATCTCGTTTTTTTTTTCTCAACACTACTTACATTGTTATATTATTTATATTGTATATCCTTTCAATGTGCACATGATAATAAAATCTTGTGAATTAATGCTTATTATCATTTTATTATGGAACACACAACTCTATCAACCCTGCTGGAACTTTCAATTTCCATAGTGGATCAACTGGGATTGTGAAATGCATTTTTTTTATCTCTTGGAGCGCACGAATTCTCAAGTAGCTGAAGCTTGTTGGAATCAAAATAAGTTGACTCAATTGCAAAAATTGCAAAACAAGGGCAACAAAGCTATGAGAATAATTCTGAATAATTGTTCTGAATACACACCTATATTACTGTAAGAGAGTTTTTCTTATTTCAAAATTTGATATTCCTCAAAAGGCTTGGTATGTTCAATAATTTATCAAATAACATTAAACATCATTCAAATCAGCATGCAATTGTTACTTTTCGACAAATAATTGTTTAAACTGCAGCTCTAGTGCTCTAGTGATTTTTTTAAAATAATTACAATTGTCTGAAATTGTAGAAAGTATTTTTCTCGAAAAGTGATATAAAAGTATGGTACTGTATTTAAAATGAAATGTGACTATAGGCCTGTTCATTTGTTTGTGTAAATTTTATTTTTTTAAGGCTATGTCTACATTATATGGTGTGCAGAGATAATCTTAGATGAGTCATATTCATCAGGCTGAGTAAAACTTGAACATGCCTAATAAAACTTTCTCTAATTAAAAAACTAGTGAAAAGGCCTGATAAAACTTCTATAAATTACAAAACTAGTGACTACCACATGTTCGCATCGCTAACACTTTTAGAACAACAAATTTTGTTGAAAGCGCCTTAGACGTAATTGATTTGTTTATGAACATATTTGATTTTACAGCCCTTTTTGAATTTCGTCTGTTCTTATAAATGCCTCTGGACTCATCCCAGATGACGCTGTTGAGGTGTTTTTGAGATATTTGAACTTTGAAAGCGCGAAAAACTTACCGGCGCTTTCAGCGATGAAGCTGTACAGGGTGGCTGGAATTCGAGGCTCATCATTGGGATCTCGTAAACCGTAAGAGATACAGGGTCGGTTAAATTATGGCAAAGTTGCGAAATTTTATGCTGATCAATATGCCGCCTCAAAAGTTTGGAAATACCGAATAATTCCGAAGATATTTGAAAAAAACCGAATATCCGCGATTTCATTTTTATTTTTTTGTGACTTTATTTGAAGTGATATGTCAAAATGAGTTTCATATTAGCATTGCCACTTTTTCTGCTCTATCTAATGGCATTAATAGATTCGTGTTCCGACGTTTCGTCTTCGAGGAGCTATCATCAACTTTGTTTTTTTAAATGGTCGAAAATACATTTTTTGTTCCTAAAAAACTCAAATTCCAATTCCAACGACATATAACACTTGATTATCTTACGTTTCGGACCAAAAAATCATTATCAGTATTATTTGATGATGGTTACGAGGAAACGAAACGTCGGATCAAAAATCTGATGATGGCAACTTGTAGAAAAAGAAAAAGGACTATGAAAATGTCAAATTCATTTTGGTCTATCTCTTATAGTAAAATCAGAAAAAGATCATTTCTGGGTGGCCAGGTAGCCGTGCGGACAGAATGTCCATATTCTGATCCGCATTCGCTTGCCGGTCGTGGGTTCGAGTCCCGTCGACTGCAGAAATTTTTCTGATGGCCCAAGAAAGTGTTTGGGATCACACGTTAAAAGGTAAGGCCCCCGTCATTCCTTGCTCGCACAAGACTCTCGAAGACTTTTGAGGGTTGCTCGTAAGGGGGCAACCGAATGACGGATAGAACAATTTTAGAACAATTTTTTTTAAAATTAGAAACTTGGAGAATAACTTCTTATTGGAAACTAAAATAGAGATAGACCGACAGATAGACCAAAATGAATTTTACATTTTCGCAGTAATTTTTCCTTCTCTACGAGACGCCGTCATAAGATTTTTGTTCCGACGTTTCGTTTCCTCGTAACCATCAACAAATAACAATAACACTGATTTTTTGGTCCGAAACGTAGGATAATTGCAAAGTGTTGTATGTCGTTGGATTCAGAATTGGAATTTGAGTTTTTTAGGAACAAAAAATGTATTTTCGACCATTTGAAAAAACAAAGTTGATGATAGCTCCTCGAAGACGAAACGTCGGAACACGAATCTATTAATGCCATTAGATAGAGCAGAAAAAGTGGCAATGCTAATATGAAACTCATTTTGACATATCACTTCAAATAAAGTCAGAAAAAAATGTAATCGCGGATATTCTGTTTTCCTCAAATATCTTCAGAAGTATTCGGAATTTCCACACTTTTGAGGCGGCATTTTGATCAGCATCAAATTGCGCAACTTTCCATTATTTAACGGACTATCGGTCCGATTCGCTAAAGGTGGATTCATGCAACATCAACTAAATTATAATGAATTTAAGATTTAAACGAATTTTAAATTAAAAATATATGGGTGTTCATGCAATAACCTTTCATCAGCTGTTTATTCTTTTCCCAGCGCGGCTAGTTATTATTTGGCGCATGCGTTGTCGTGAATTATGGAAGAAATTAATTTCTTAGTTGAATGTTGGCCATCTTTCTTAGTTTTAATTTTAGTTTTAATTCTTTAGTTTCTTGCATGAGCACCTACATTACATTTCATAGTTTTATATTATTGGTTTAAGTTTAAAATTCATTTAAGTTTTAAATTTTGCATGCATGAATCCACCTTAAGAACGTGGTTATTTTAACAACTGTCATTCGGGTGGTCAATGTGAAGGTCAGTGGTTATCTGAACCACTCGAAGATTTTCTGATTCTCTAAGGCCTAGATGGATAATAAATTAACAACTTGTTATGATTTTTTCCACTTTTTATTGTGGCAGATATCCACCAGCCTTTTCTGGTGATTTGTGAAAGTATGAAATATCTGCCTTATTATTTGTGAACACAAAAAAAAATTACCTATTTCACTAGAAGGATAGCATAAAACGATAGAATTTAGAGGGATTCAACAAGTCCATCCTTAAATTTCGAAAATGTTATCACATTCCAAAAGTATTGGTTTTAGAGGTTTTGATACCATTAATAGAACCTCAAATGAAAGACGTTAGTTGGCTACTTTTATTCTACTACATGTAGAAGTGAATCTCAGTTGAGTTTTTGTAATATACCAGTAGGTATAGAGAGTACTTAGAGAATATTTATAACTAATGACTAGTATTTTAGATACTTGCTGCCTTACATTTATTGCTTGCACGAGGATCCTATCAGGGAGACTGATTCTAAAGTAGCAATGTCTCAACCGAGTGCTTGTAGAGTGAATTAATTTTTAGGTTAAATTGACGTTAAAAAGGCAGAAATTAATAATATTGTTGATGAATGACTAACTTCACAGCTCTATTTTTATACCACTGAGTGGAAATGTAAAAAACTAACCACGTTGATAAATTTTGTTTTTATAGAATAGCAAATACTAATAGTGGAAAATCTGGGGTGGTTAAAAAAGTTCTTAATAACAACGTTACTAATTTAGCCACCGTGTTAAACACTTCCTAGAGAATCGGACCGACTGTATCTCTTACGGTTTACGGGATCCCGAAGATGAGCCTCGAATTCCAGCCACCCTGTACAAACACTCCCCTAGACTCATTCCTATTTCCAAGTGTTTGTTATTGATGTTGAATTGAAAACTCTGGAAAATATGTATATTTCTTTGACAGCTTTCAAGAGCACATCGCCAACAATCCGCCGAACAAGGTCATCGAAGTAGATGAATTTCTGGCCCTGCGCAAGGAAGTTAGGCACATGCTGAAACATGACGTGACAACAGATACTGCTGCTGACAATTCTGATGCTCCTCCTGGCGACGACGATCAGACTAAAGTCGTCAGCTCTGATGAGGAAACCAAGTCCATCAGAGAAAGGATCGTTTCAATAAGGCGTAAAGCTCACAAGGCTACTGTCAATGCAGTTACGGCAAGATGGAACTATGAAGAAGGGGTAAGAAATTGATGATTCTACATACATTTTTCTTTCACTGAATGGTGACCATATTTATCAAGGAATTCAAATACAATCTGGTTAAAAAAAAACAAATCTCATCCTAGAAGTCAATTATTCCACCCGATAGTATCCCTCCGCCAGTAGAATAGTACATAAGGCACTAATGTTGTTGAGCAAGGTACAAAAAGTAAATGAGTAAGTTTGGATTATTCTAGATAAATTACAATTGCTGTTGTGGATTGGATAATGATGAAAATTTGTATGAGAAATTGATATTTGAATAAGTATTTGTTCTACTTTTCCTGGAATACATGCGAATTCAAGATACTCGCTTTAACCTAAACAAATAAGAAGAGTGAGGTTCTGTTTCAATGTTTCACCTCCAGGGTCGGTCATCTGGACAGTTCTTGCACGCAACCCATTCAGATACTTCACATACACAACATATTTACGAAAGGGCTTTCAAGCTAACTTGATGATGACGTCAATATGTCAACACATGTAGTGTTGCCAGTTGAAAGGAAATAACTTATTGACCAACCGCCCGAATATGGATATGTCTAGTGTTGCGATCGTCGGGAGTTATAATGTTTTTGAAGTGATAATGTTTTTTTGCAACCGACTCAAAACCATCAACCCTCATTAACGTCATTTAATTATTCAACAGAGATGTGTGGGATCAATACCAGCATGAATTACATAGGTACATCTGATAATTGAACTTTTCATAAATATTTGTGAACCATGAACCTAGACAATAAACTGAATATAATTTATTAATGATCATGAAATTCTTATAGAAAATAATAACTTGAAGACTGATTTATTAAGAAACAATTACAGATATTAACATAATAAATGACTTATCTAAACTGATCAGTATTCACATTTACTGAGTGGAAATAATGAAAACTTCCAATCCAATTTTGAGGTTAGATATATATCTAATCGTTTTTGTTATTTTTCAAGCACTATAAATTGGTGAAATTAAATAGTGGTGCTTCTACTTGTATTGGAAATAATGAAATAGACAACAAAAGTTGTTCTTCAATATTTTCAATATAATTCATGAGGAAAACTCACTAAAACTAATTAAACCACTATGTCATTGCCATAAACTAACATTATATAATACAATTTTCAAACCCTTATCTACAGAAGAGTGTGTCTTGTTTCTGCTACAGAAATAAACTTATACTAAATAATATTTTCTAAAACTAATATATAGCACACTGTGGAAGGTTTTTCCAAATTTTTCAACAATTGATTTTCAAACCAGTGGAGAAAGTTATGTTGGTTCATGTCTCCATGGTAATCTTCATGTTTAGTTTTTGAAGAAAATACTAATTCTGCACCAGGAATGAATCCATCTTCACATCCAGCATGTTGGACTATGAATCTAAGATGAATCAAATAATGCAATTTATATTTATTCATGAGAATCATAAAAAATACCTGGAACCTCCTACTTTGTATTTTTCACACTTTTGACATTGGAGTCTTGCCATGAGTGTCCTAATGTACCATCCTGGAAGATCCAGGTCTCATCAAGAAAAACAAATTGTCTTAAACCTTCATTTTTCAATTGGCAGTATGTCTGCAATGAGGTAGTTCCATCATTCTTCTTCATGGATCATCTTTCCTGAACTTGAAGCAAATATGTTTCAACACTTTCCAGAGAGATGTGATGCCTCCATTAAAGAGATAACGTTCAGCAAGTTTTTCTCTCAATATTTTCATTGTAATTAAATTATTCGAAATCAAGCACATAGGTATTACCTGAAATGGATCATTAATTTCCAGTGAAAATACTTACTGTTTTTATACATGTCATAGATACAATTCCTAATTGCCACTTGTTGACCATCTTTGTGGTCTAAAATGGGTTTTTCCTGTGGGGTTTTATCCACAAATAAATCACAAACAAGTTTATGAAATAACAAATTGAAGACCTCGGTGCAAGTACCGGGCAACTCCATTTTTTTTAAATGTTGGGGAATGGGAAAAAACTTCATATTTTTGAGAAACTTGAGAAAAATTATGCTAAATGGTATGAATTCTCTAGTTACGTTAGGTAAGCTGTATTAACTTGGATAGTGATTTTCATTTACATTGTAGAAGCCAAAAAAGAAGTTTGAAAAAAGGGAGTTGCCTGTTTCTTGCCCCAAAAAGACAAAATTCGGAAAATATAGTCCTCTTCATCAACAGTTATGTTTTTGAAACATATACACTCCCCGAATCTTTAAAGGGCTCACTTTCACTTTCCGACGACATTACATCGTATTGCATGAAACAAATGATCAAACTAATCACGCCACACACGATGGAAGACGCGGGAAGGCTTGCCGCTAATAACCTCACTCCGACATCTCCGACTACACGCGTACATTTCGGTGCTAAAATCGGGTAACTCCTGGAGTTGCCCGACTCTTGCACCTCAATGACTCATCAGGTAAATCCTTTCCCGTGTCAACTTAACAGGAAATCGTTGGATTCGCTTGATTCTTGCACCAAAAGATGCGCAAGAAAAAATTCTATATGTTGAATACAATAACCCAATTTCGGCATAAATTGGAGTTACCCGGTTCATGCACCGAGGTATTCAATTGTCAGTTATGAATAATTAGCAAAGATCAGCTGATCACAACAATTTGCTTCTAGGAATGTCAAATAAATCTGGCATCGCTGTCCAGTTTTGTCAACTTGAATTGGTAACGCGGTTCGCCAATTTCGAAAGTTACTAGTATTTTGCATTGTGCAATTTTAGTAGGACATTGTTTCCAAGTATTGCACAACTATCTAGGCTGAGTAAAAGAACTTTAGTTGAGCATTTGTGGAAAAACGAATTCTTGCAACAGGCCATGTTGGATGCATTGTAGCGCCTCTTCCTTAAGTTTCTGAAAATCTGTGATATAGTACATTTGGCAACAGAATTATTTATTCTCAACATTTTTTGATATCTTTTAGTCTTGATTTTTAGTGTTATGATTTATGTTTCGATCAGTAGTAGTTTACTACAATTCCTAAAAAACTGGTTATCAAATTCCAAAATATTTTGATTGTGTTGAAAAAGGGAATGTTCATAGTCTTTCCCACACTATTCAATGATGTAATCAGTTATTCAGAGATATCTTTCGGGCTCAGAAGAGCTCATCAATAGCCTAATAGGTTCAAAACACAACATTAGATTTCCGCCTTTTTGATACCTTGGTTTATTTTCTTCAATAGTTGATCGTTGACCCTTTCTCAGGGACAAAGGAGTTTTATTCAAATATTCCATTTTCAGGTCCTTGGATGTTATATGAGTATTGTTTGGCAATTATATTTTGCTATTCAACAAATTTTTTTGTGTCATCGGCCTTTGGCACCCTCAACTAAAAATAGTACTTATATTTTCACTTTCTTGTAAAAGTAAAAACAAATCCTTTTCAATAGGTCCAATATTACTCTCTGTAGACCTCATTTAGGCTGAAGATCGACTTTTCAAAATCTGAAACATGTCCTCGAGTTACTGATTACATCTAAAATTCTTCACGTTTTGCAGTTTGGAAGTAATATTTCAAATCACCCTGTACATCAACACATTGTTTATACGCAAATGGATCTTTATTATTTTATGATGATTTTGCTAATTGGTTGTCTGGTGTATGTGACATAGGACAACTCTGAATTTTCATTGCAGACAATGCAAGGGCCATCTGAACCACTGTTCAGTTATCTGAGGGCAGTTTGTTATTGTACAGCACTTGAATATATTTTTTTCGTTTTCAGATAAAACGTCCGTATTTCCATGTGAAACCTTTGGAGAGGTGTCAGCTCAAAAACTGGCAGGACTATCTCGATTATGAGACTGAACAGGGTGATCGCATCCGAGTAATAGTGTTGTTTGAAAGATGTCTGATAGCATGTGCTTTGTATGAAGAATTTTGGCTGAAGGTGAGTTTTCTTCCAATGTCAATGATGATTTTTTCAAACCAAGTGTTTGATTTTTAGTTTGTTCATTATTTGGAAACTCTCAAAGACCCAGAACTCCACTCGAAAATCAGGGATGTGTACGAAAGAGCCTGTACAATACACCATTTGAAGAAGCCCAGTCTCCACTTGCAGTGGGCCATGTTTGAGGAAAGTGTCGAAAATCCAAATAGGGCAGCTGAAATACTTGTGAATCTGGAAAAATCAGTACCCAACATATTGCAAATCGCTTACAGACGAATAAACCTGGAGCGTAGAAGGTCTGACCACGAAAAGTGTGCACAGCTGTATGAACATTACATAACTAACTCGAAAAACAAGATGATCTCCAGTAATATAGCCATCAAGTTTTCCCGGTTTTGCTTCAAAATAATGAAGGATTTTGAGAAGGCCCAGGAAGTGTTGAAGGGAGCTATAACCAAGGACCCAAACAACCCCAGATTGTATTTACAACTCATCGATCTCACTTTGCAAAAAGAGAATGTGACCGATGCTGAAATAATAGAAATCATCGACTCGTTTTTGGATAAGGAGACAACGGATGTCGATCAGAAGGTGCTGTTTTCTCAGAGGAAATTAGAGTATGTGGAAGACTTTGGGGCAGACGTTCAGTCAGTACAGGCGGCTTATGAGCAGTATCAGAAGTGGCTCAAACAGAGCAAGGATAGCTCCAAGAAAAAGGAAGTCAAAACGTAAGTTGCTATGTATTTTTGTAGTTGGATTGATATTTATTTATTAGAAGCTGTCAACTACTGTCCAATGAGTGTCACTAATAGAATGTATCTTCTCTTTTTCAATGTCAATAATCATAGTTCTGGAGAAAGAAAGGCCCTTGTAACTCTGAAGCAAATATATTGATATGCGGTTCTCTGTATTGAGTTTTCCATGAGAATTGACCCTCGGGCAGTTTTCTTCTATCTAGTTCAAGACTTACCTAATAAGTGTTCAATTTGGCCCACCCTGTAGAGGGTGGCTGGACTGGAATTGAAACCACATCTTAGGTCGCTGACTTTAGACACCCTACTTCGCATTAATTTGCACATTCCTTTTTTTTGCATGTTGTCAGGTTATGTCTCAATTATAAAACCAAGTGTGCAGCTTCAAAACACCTAGGCTAAAGTATGGTGCTAGAAAAACCACGAAATTCGTCTACTAATTTCGGTTTTTAGCCCAAAAGCTATAAAAGGCGGGTTCCAATGAAAAGGCCAATCAGACCTTTTTTCAAGCTGGATAAATTCTCGACAATTCGAGTCTCATTCTTGTGGGACTAGTACCTCCCAAGATACAGGACTTCCAAAAGTGGATATTTTTACAGTTTTGGCCCTCTTTTAGGCCCTCTTCTATGCAAAATATCGGCTCTAATACTCATCATACAAGGATGTTTATGAAACATAAAGTTTCTTTCAAATTTTGAATTGACTCGGCCGTTACTTGATGGAAATCCATGGCAAATGTGGCAAATCTTATCGTTTGTGAAGTTTTTACATAAAGTTTCTGTATATCGTCGACGAAACCGCAAAACCAAGTAAATGACAAAAATTCGAAAATGGAATTCTGGCGGCAATCAGTCTATCATATTGGTGGGAATGCGTATGCAAAACCTCACAACTGGAAAAAAATTGTAAATTTTTCAAAATCCATAAATACAAAACCCCCTATCTGAAAACCAAAATGAAAGGGGTCGTCAAAAACAAGTATCTAACAGTTGGCAACGTGATTCACGCCTCTGATATTTTGTGTTCAATTTCTTTTCACAGAGATCAATCTCTGCTAATTGGTGAGTGACTTTTCATAGAACCGATATGTTTATTCTTAACTTCAATTGGTATTTCAACACAGGATGTGAGGGTGACTTTATAAGAACTTTTAGCATTTAAGATCTAACATTAACATTTAAGACTTAGGAGTCTTAAGTGGAATCAGTTATAAAAAAAAATTAAGATTCTAGGGCGATACTTGTCTTCTGTCATTCCTGACATCTAGTTTCTGATACAGAACCAGATTTTCAAAGTTTCAAAGTTAGAAACTGGTTGGAAATCAAAATTTCATGTTCTGATATCATTCAATTAATTTATATTCATATCCCTGAAATGATACCCACATCCATTATATCTCCACATCATTTTGAAAGTAATCACTATTCCTTGCCTAACAGAAACTGGCTCACTCCTTGGATCTTATGCCAAATATGGGGGAAACAGAGTTGCGACATTCTAGTGTATTTTTGAAGAACGGTTCAGTATTCATCAGAAGAAAAACAAATATTCAGGAATAACAACACAAGATATTTTGAATTATTTTTGAATGGCGGGAAATTGAGATGTCACTTTTGGATGCGCACTCCTTATTCCATTTATGATCATTTATCAGCACTTCTTGAGTTGAAAGTTGGTCATCTTCTTAAATCTTCAATGTTAAATGATAAGTCTTAAATGGTTTTATAACATAACCAATGATATTTCCATGTTCCATCTGTCATAAGTGATAAGCCTTAAATGTTAGGTGATGAATCTTAAGTCTTGAAGTTTTTTATAAAGTGGCCCTGAGAATTTATCTCAAGTATTTGTTAAGCGGAAAGTCCAGAAAAATGAAGTTAGTGTTTTTGCGAATTATTTTTCTGAATAATTGTTGTTGCTTTCGCACAGAAGCAGATGTCAAAACCAAGTATCTTATGCTGACAAACGTAAACATAACTTTTTTCAATGATAAATGTACAAACGTAAGGAAAATAATAATCAGGTGATTTGTTACTATTTTTCATTGAATCTGATCAGTTAACCCGAAATTATAAAGTTTTTAGTGTCTCCTGAAAATTTTGTTTTTTGCAGTTACTTGGTTTTGAAGTTTCGTGGACGATATTAAAATAACTTCGATTTATGCTCATAATCCAGCCTATAGGCCCAATAGCACCATTGTCATCTTTAAAACACTACTTTAGCCAAAAAAGAAAACAACTAATTATTGATTACTAATTACTGTTCTTGAAGGCGTTTATGGATGGAGCCGTAACTATATCATCATCCCTTGGTTCTCATGATGTTCTCTGAACATCACAGGATACCCCATTTCATGGGAACCAGAACATAAAAAAAGACTAATAGATTTCAATTCATAGGAAACTCTTGGAGAAAAAAAAATGTCTTGTAGATAGGTTCTGAATTTTTTCTTGGCGAGCTTCAGAAACGGCTTCAGACTATTATAGCCACGAAGTCTTTTATCGACTTTCAGGGAGAAGATATGGCTCAGGTCCACAGAAAAGGTGTTATACCATTGAATGAGGGTTTCCTCATCTTTTTTCAAGGTTGTCAAATTCAGTGCAGTGAATCCATGATATTCCAGTGGGTGTAGTTGAGGTACCCATTTTGTAAGTTTCTGTTGAACATTAATCAAGTAATGTGGTGTCTCTGACAATGATATACGACTAAAGGGTGTATTAAACTTTTATAAAGTTGTATAAATAGTCTGGTGTCCGGGGATTGGAAAATTTCCTCACAATGTAGGCAGTTTTGTTGGCTCATTTCACAATATTGGCAATATGTTCCGACCAAGTCACACCCAGGTCTGCTTGTGATTCCAATGATTGGATTTGTTCGTTGTCAATGTGATATCGGGTGTTTGGGTTGTTTTGACCAATATGCAGAACTGCACATTTGGCATTTGGGTTAAGCGGGAATAACCAGTCGTAAGCGGTTCAGATCATCAAGAGGGTTGCAAAATAGTTTATCATCGGCATAGAAGAAGCGGGTGCAGTGCAGAATTGATAGTACATATGTCTGATGTATATAAAAGAAAAATAATGGTTTCTGGAAGACAAAGCATTGGACTTCAAATTTTAAAACGCCAACTCGTAGGGAAGAAAAAGTGACCATGAAAAGGTTTCACTTATTTCGATTAATTTCTTCAAATAACTTGATGAAATATAAAGAGCTTTTAGGAAATTCCGTATTTTTTTTTAAATCTCCGAAAGTATTCGACATTTTCCAAGTTTTCAAACGACATTTTGTTAACCATGAAATTACGCAAATTTGTCTCGATTTAACAGAATTTTCCAAATAATGTAAATGCCGTTAATGACATGAAACAACAACTCAAAAATATTGAAACATAATGAACGTTTTTTTTTTCAGAGAGGCTGCTTCGTCTTCCAGCAAGAAAGAAAAAAGCGCCACACCATCATCCTCTACAACAAATACCTATTCGAATTATGGTACATATGGTAATTCGTCTGCTCAGCCATCCTATCCATATTCAGGATCACAACAGGGACAAAACTACTATCCTCAGTACGGACAGGGCGACCAACAATATCAGTACCAAAACTGGCAGTATCCTCAAGGGGGTTATGGGGGTTACAACCAATGGGGCGGCTACAGTGGGGGGTATGGATACTAAAAAATGTAAAGACTTTTCCATTTTACTTGTTGACATCATTTATCATTTCAATTTAACAGGTGTTACTGAGTGTAATATTTAGATGTTCCAATAAGGCTATTATAAATTTTCGTATCAGCACGTTTTATAATGTAATTATGTTTTTTAGTTTTATCAAATTTAGGTCTCTGTAATTAGTGCCACAATAAAAGTAAGTGTAACGAAAACAGTTTTATTCATCTTCAAACTTTCAAATCAAATTATCACTTTGTAAAAACAATCTGACAAACTGAACAAGACAATAGTAGGATTTTTTCTCACTGTTTTCTGCTCATACAGTTCATCACAAATTTCATTGAGGTATTTCTTGTGTCTTGGATGCCTGCAAAAGAGTTTTTTTTTCAATACCACATTATTTTGGATTTTTTACCGCTAATACAACAGTAAGTTGTGTATACCCGTAATTCACTTATAATTCATAGAACCAATAAGTTTATTCATGAATCATTCGAAACTGAGTGTTTCCTAAACTGGTATGACATAATAAACGGCAGAAGACGTAATGTTCAAAAAATGTACACATCAACTTTCAACTAAGTATACCTTTTCAACTTCAAATTGAGACTAAAATAATCATTTTCAAAATGGAAATAATCATCTTCAAATAGGGAAGAAATGATTCAGCATGGATTAATCACATTCAAATTTAAACCAATACATTTCATATTAGAACTAAATATCATTAAGTACAATATGAATATGGAATTAATTGATTTGGTAGCGAATGTGTTAATGATACTATTATATCGTTTACCTATGATATCAAATTGAATTTCCAATTGATGACAAGTAACTCGTATATTTATTGACAAGACTAACCATCACATTTTCGAATTCGCATGTCATAATATACAGGGTGTCCCTTAAAGACATGCTAATATTCGAGGGGGTGATTCTTTGACTCATTTTAAGGAGATAACTTCATATGAACGTATGCCCTAAAAGTCTTAACTTTTGAGATACAAAAAAATATTCAGTTTTTTTATAATAACTGAGACAATATTGTATACATCTTCATGATATGTGGTACACGTCTTTTATGCATCAAGGTGCATTTTCTGATGTAAAAAAAATTCGATTTTCTCTACCAGTGGCACCTTCACGGGAATATTATTGTTTATATTTTACTAAAAAGTGAGCAACGACCAAAAATGTTCAAATTTCATACAATGTCATATAAGGCTATTCAATTATGTACAAGAAAGATCCTCTTGTTGATACTCGATAGAACGCTTCGTTTTCAGGAAAAAACGGAAAAACGAGACGAGACTTCAAATTTTGATGTTTGAGTACTCCATTCAGAACATCCATTACTGGATAACCACAGTATGTAACATTTTGAAATTCGTAAACCGATTCAGTCACATAGCAGACTGAATTTTGCCATCACGAAAAGTTATACAGGGTGGACAAAAAAATAATGTATGCATATTTTCAACATTGACACCCTGTATCTCGAAAGTTAGGACGTTCACGTTATACGATCATGTGAAGTTTTATTCTTGAAATGGGTCGAAGAATCGGCCCCTTGAATATTAGCATATCATCATAAAGTGAAAAATATGTGAAAACTCTCTTTACATATAATTTACCTAAACCAAAATTCATTTTGATACACTTGATATTCTAGAATTTATGACATTGGCTAGTAGATTCGTTGACACCCCGGTATTGTGATAATAATTCAACGACACGTGAACTATTAAATCTCATATAAAATGTAAAAACATCTCTTCCAGAATAAGTAAATAGGAGAAGTTGAGTTCGGGTTAAATCATTTTCTTATAATGCAATATAGTCGTGAACGTGAACGAATGAGCATCCTAGGGAAGAGCCTGCGAATGCTACTAAAGTCACGGATGGTGAATGGAAAGAGGTGAAACATAACAATAGAAGGAAGAGACGATTTCTTGTAGGTAACAACAGTGGCGCTGACTTGCCTGTACATGCAATTGCAAAACGTATACGGCTGCATGTGACGAGACTGGAGCCCAACTCAACCACCGAAGGACTGACACAGCTTCTGGAACCTATATTTACCGATGTTGTATGTGAAAAAATGGTTTCTAAACACCCTGATAAGTACTCTTCTATGATTGTCACAATTAACAAAGACCAAGAGAAGATTGCATGGAAGCAGGAAATATGGCCTATAGGAGCTCTTGTCAGCTATTTTTTAGGCAAGAAGATGGGATAGGCCTTGACTATCCCTGGAAGAAAAATGACCTGTCAATCGTCAACTTCAACGTTAGGAGCTTACGTAACAAGGTAGAGGAGCTCTACCTGTTACTATGCTCATTACATCTACCACAAGTTGTTTGCATCACAGAGACATGGTGTACAAATGAAGAAATACAGAACATTAAGCTTCAAAACTATTCTCTAGCCAGCTATTTCTGTCGTACAGAAGATAATTCAGGTGGTGGTGTTGCCATTTTTGTTCATAACCAGCTGAATTTCAAGACTGAAAAAGTTGAAGAAATGTCAAACTTAGTAACATATTCTAATTTTGAGTTCACTCATACAACTATTTGTAATGAGACTTTTTCTATAATTGTATCTTGTCTTTACAGAGCTCCTTCAGCAAATACTGATATATTCCTTGAGCACTTAGATAATGTGATTCCAATGGTCAATCCTGATAATAAGGCAATGATTTTATGTGGTGATTTTAATCTCAACTTTGATATGGTTGTAAATTGTACCAAAGCAAATAGTGCTCGTAATATCCTACTTTCATATGGAATGGCTTCACACTTTCAGTGCTATAGTCGCATACAGGGTGACTCTCATACGGTCATCGATAATATTTTCAGTAATTTAGACAGTGACACATGGAATGAAACCATCTATTCTAATATCTCTGATCATCACCTGCAGATCTTGAGTTTTTCCATTGATCTACAGAATGATTGTACAAATGAATGTTACAGACGTAATTTCTTGAGCCAACAAAATATTGACAACTTTAAGAGCTCAATTCAAGAGCAAACTTGGAGTAGTATATTTGCAGAATCCAATGCTGAATCAAAATTCAACTCCTTTCTGGGTGTTTTTCTAGATATTATGCACAACTCTTTTCCTCTTGTCAAAGCACGCAATAGAAATAAATTCAATGAAAAATCTTGGGTTGATAAGGAAATCATAGACCAGGGTAATAATCTACGTTTCTTGTCAAGATTATGTAAGTCTTCTGGAAGTGCTGAACTCCATTCCCAATATAAAGAAAAACTGAGAACTCATAAAAATGAAATTCGAAATAAGAAACGGAATTATTACAATAATTTTTTTCTAGAATCTAATAACCTCAGTAAGTCTGCTTGGAAAATAATCAGGAATGAAACATCTCAAGCTAGACGTAAAAGATATCCCCTGTCTCTTACAGATAACAGAGGAAATAATGTATCAGAACCAGAAGATATCGCTGAAGGTTTCAATGATTATTTCATAAAATCAGTAGATGAGCTGGCAAAATCAACAGGACAAAAACGCCTGGATAGTCCAATGAGTAATTCTATTAAAGAATCATTCTTTTTGACTCCGGTCACTGAGAGTGAATTCTTAGATACTGTCAAACTAGTAACAAAAAAAAGATCTGCAGGTGAAGATGGGATCCCTTGTTCATTGGTCTCCATTGTTGCAACCGACCTAGTATCTATACTAACATACCTGGTGAACGAATCTTTCAAGGAAGGAGTTTTTCCCTCAAAATTAAAAATGGCTCTTGTAGTACCTATACACAAAAAAAATAGTGCTTCTGTAATGTCAAACTATAGGCCCATCTCAATTTTGCCTGTTTTCTCCAAAATCTATGAGAAACTATTCCATAGTCGCCTATCAAACTTTCTAACCTCTTTTAACATTATCAATAACTCTCAATTCGGTTTTCGAAGAGACATGAGTACAGAGGATGCGATCGCTCACTTTCTGAACACAGTGTACACGAAACTGGATAATAAACAACTGGTTGCAGGGTTGTTCTTTGACTTCTCTCGAGCGTTCGATCTTGTAAACCACGAATTACTATTAAACAAGTTATATTCCTATGGGGTCAGAGGACAGCCCTACAACTGGTTGAAGTCATATCTAGCCAACAGGAGTCAGAGGGTACTGCTGAGGGTTCATGACGCCAATTACTACTCATCCACTAAATTTATAGAGACAGGTGTCCCTCAGGGAAGTATCCTGGGACCTTTACTGTTCATTATTTTCGTTAATGATTTACCTTATTGTTTTAGTGTTGGTCAAACTTCTCTATTTGCTGATGACCTCTCAGTAGTAGCTTCTGGCAGCACTATCAGCAGCCTTAGCCAGGCTTCAACTAATTACGTGAGAGCGACCAATGACTACAGTGTAAAAAATCACCTAGTATTGAACATGATGAAAACTGACCTTTTACAGTTTTCTGCCTCAAATTTCAACTACAGTTTATTAGTCAGATCTGAAAATTCTACTGTTTGTCAATCAAATGTTGTAAAATTTCTTGGAGTGCATATGGACTCACATTTAAAGTGGTATACTCATATTGATCACTTAGCCAAAAAAGTCTCATCCCATTGCTTTGTACTTTGGAGATTGAGACAATTTGTAGACCGAAATATTCTACTGATGTATTACTATTCATATATCAACTCTAGTTTATCTTACTCAATCACCATATGGGGAAATTCAAAGAGAGTTGAATCTCTCTTGATAGTACAAAAAAAAGTATTGCGAACAATAACTTTCAAAAATCGAACCGACTCCTGCAAAAACCTATTCAAGGAACTAGGCATTCTAACAGTCATATCATTATATATTCTTAAATGTGTAACTTTTGTGAAAAGAAACATCTGTAAGTACACTGTATCAGGTGATATTGTTAATCACCATATAAGATCTACGTCGACGATCAGATTACCCCCACATAGACTTACTTTAACGGCAGAAAGTTGTATTGTAATGCCTTCAAAATTATATAACCATCTACCAAATGATTTGAAGAATATATCAAATTTCTATATTTTCAAAAGTAAAATAAAAACTCTTCTACTGCAGTACTCCCTTTATTCGGTAGATGAATATTTTAATATAAAATTTTAAAAATAATGTTGTTGCACTGTTCTTTCATGTATTTATCTCGTGTTTATACTCATCTTATTTGTGGATATACCTATAATGTATCTTGTATTCATAAATTGGTGTCCTTTTTACCTATAGTATTAGTATTTAGTAGTAGTTTTTAGTTTTTAGTGACTTGTCCACATGTCATGTAATTTGACCATATTTGGAATGAATAAATGAAATGAAATGAAATGAAACGTCAAATAAATCTTGGGATTTTATCACTTATAATGACACGAGAGCTTTTATTGTCGAATTAAAATTGATATTTCAATGATAATAAAAAATGTCAGGTTTACTTCAACCCAAAAAAAAATTCTTGAGTGTTCGAAGACTTCTCCAAATCGCGACATTTCCACAGGATACCCTTCTGATGATAATTTATTCACAATTTTGGTTGTCATGGTTTCAAATGTTCGATTCCGTTTTGTCGCCGGAGAAGTTAGGGCAAACTTTTTTCGCTGTGATAATGACAACATCACAACGGCTTATGTGATTCTTTATACATGAATTAAATTGTGAATCATATAATCTACCGAAGTGTAATAAAAAGTATAAAATAACCCAATAAAATCAAAATTTTCTTTTCTACATGTATTTCTTATGGAAAATTGTTTCGAGGTTTTCACGTTGTTCACACAAACCCCTGGCGCCGCGAAGTGAGTAGATTATCAGTTGAGTTGTAATAGGGTCAAGTACATTTTAGTAATATCGTATCGTTGCTTTCTGAATTTTAATCCGGTTGGAGCAACTATTGACCTATTGACCCATAAAGAAAATAGCAATAGCGAACTAGAACAAGTTTCAAAAATTAGAACAAATGAATGAACACAGAAGTGAGATAATTCATGTTGAACAAAAAAATAATACTGGATCTCACCTTTCAATCACAGTTTCAACAGATTTTTGAAACTGGTACTCAGTTTCAAATTCCAAGAAAGATGTCAAAGATCTTATCAAATTCGATTCAATTGATAGTCCAAACACTACCACAAATCCAGTTAATTTCTTGAAGAGGCTATCGAGATGTGATTTAATCTGAAAAGTGTATTATATCTAAAATATCATTATTTCTGTATAATTATTACATTTATCAACCAACCTGATTTTCATATCGTTTTCTTGCATTTGACGATAGTTTTTCAATTGTAACAAAAACGATATCTACATTGGCTTCTTGAAGATGTTCCCCACTGGATTTACTTTCAGATCGCGTTAGGAAAGATGGAGGACCGTTTTCTTGATAGCTGTCATTCCAGTTTCTTAATATCCTCTGTAAATTTTCCACAAGTTCGCTAGTCGGTAGGGATTTTTCTTGAAATCTGGAAGCCGTAAATATTTTACATACAATAATTGAATAAAATGTGAGTACTACCTCTCTTTATTCCAACTTCGGATTCTTACAGTGCCTTGTTCATTATCTTTCAATATCACAACATGGGTAACCTTCAATTCATTTAGTTGTTCCTGGATTTCTTCAATGTTTGTGGTTTCAATCAAAGTACTTCTTATCCCGGCTGCCCATAAATTTCTTAAAATCTCAAAAAAATATCCAATAGATTAGTTGTCCAACCAGCATTATAAACAGGTTTAGCTGTCAAAAACGAGAGTACACTCTGAAAGGCCATTCTTAGTGAACCGAACTTATTAGTAGATTTAACGAAAAATTAGAGAATTTCAGGAGAACCATCTTCATCTGATCATAGATTAATTGTGGTCACGCTGGAAAGCGATGAGCCTGAGACAATTATAAAGAGAAATTCTAGGAGAACTGATTGAATAGGTATTTATATATCAAGGGAAAAAAGTACCAATTTTCTTAAACATTAAACACACATTGGAGGAAATGAACCTTTGCTCCCATGATATACAGGGTCACGGTAGATGGTACCTTAGACGTTTACGGAGAACGGAACATAGGATCATCCTGAAAATTTGGTTACTCAAGTAGCTGCTCTTGGTCTATCGATCTAAAATATTTTCAGCGATGCAGCGTTGCCGCTTATCCACGAAAGTAGTAGCAACTTTGATATTTCAAATGGAGCACCCTGTAATTCATTGCATTTTTAGATTCTCCTTGAAGAGCTGATTTCATCAATGTATCTTACTTGGGGTCTAGCGGGAATGATTACAGAGAAATAGGGTGTCCAAAATCGAGATTTTTCAACTTTAGGAATTTTTAGTGTCGAAACTATTCATTTTCGGTCAAAAGTTAAACGAATGCTGCGGTATTTGATGCATCTGAGCAGTCGTTTGTTGGATAAGTGCTAGTGACGCCAGCTGTTATATAATATAATACAACATAATGTCGCTCAAATGAAATAAATATTACTAATATTGATTTGATATTAGGAATCCAATAACAGTGCAATATTGGTTGTGACATATTTCATTAGTCATATCTATCTGGAGTGGGTTTCCTATTGATGAACTAATATTGACTGAATAAAAAATACAAATATCCGGTAATATTCAATAATCATCTCAAATATAATATAGGATAAATATTATTTTGATCATATTGATTCGATATTGAAATCAACTAAAAAATGATAAAGATGTGATATAATTTTCATTATATAGAATTGATATTAAAGAGCCAATATCAGTGCAATACTGCTGGACAATTAAATGCAATTCATAAATCTGATATTGATGCAATATTTTTCACCAAGATTGATTCGATATTGGAAATACAATATCAGCCCATCATGAAAATTGACATATTGTTATCGTTGATATTTCGCCAATATCAAATAGATATGCAAATGAATATCATCATGCCATTGGATTGATTATTGAATATCGAAATGAAAAATTGGTTTGATATTGGGACAATCTAGTGATTCCATATTCAATATTCGAATATTGGGCTAATGTGAAACCAAGTTCTAGCCAATATGATGTTCTACCTAGGCTGAAACTGAATCTTGCGCGTATTCAGTCAAGTAGAAGGGAAAAACGCCAACTAGAGCAGAAAAACGACCTAGAAAAAGAAGATGAGGCACCTCATTTCGGTAATAAAAGTGAGGACCCCCCCAACTCCCCCACCCCAAACTGCATTTACATAATTTTTGAAGAAATAATGAAATGAAGTGTCTAAAAGGACATGGGCCTGCCAATGTTCAGAAGATTTGATCCGTTATTTTAGTCACAATTCCAGAATATCTTCTTTACCTTAGAAAGTCTTATTTTGATCCCAACAATATGTCCTCAACATATTTACATCGAATTTCGAATCACCCTGTATAATACTAATATCATTTTGGAAACTACATTGGATGGGCAATGTTTAGTAAGGACTTGCCAGGTGAGTAAGATAGTTTTTTTTACAGTACACGAATAGACTCAAGTTAGCTAATACGAAAAAAATCAACTGATAAAAATCGGGACAAAAGTTCCCTCCCTGGACTGTAACTAATAAGAGTGGTTATCAATGATCGCGAAACAAAAATTATTTTTTTAAAATGATAATATGAAATTTTGTGGAACTCGGAAATCTGATCGTTGCTATCATTAAAGACCTAACATCTCGAAAACTAAAAGTGTTTAGCCAAGGTTATATTTCAACGTCAAATGATGTAAAACAACAACGAGCGAATCAAAGTTCATAATCTCTTTTCAAGATACATATTCTCACCTTAGTTTTCTCTTGTATCATTTCTTTGCGACCAACAGAACAAACAACAACATCCAGATTATCAACACCAGGAATTTCTTCAGAATGTTCTTTTTGAACTGCTTGAACCAACCTATCTAGCGATATAGAAACTCCAATAGCAGATTGTTGGACTTCTTTGCTCAACATATTCGCATTTTCCATAATTGATCTATAAAATGCTATCATCGAATCATATCTTCCACCGGCAGCTAATACTTCCATATTGTGGTGTTTATGTTTTTTCTTCAACTCACACACAAATTGGAAAATCATCCCCGAGTATTGTTGAGCGTTGTATACTAACCCTGGCGAAACTATAATATCGTACTAAAACAGACGGACATCACAAAACTTTTGGAAGAAGAAAAAAGTACTCACACAATACCTTGACGCCATATGCTTGAGCATTATGGCTAATTTTTTTCAGATCCTGTAAAGCTTGTCTGGCCAATTGGCTTGCCTCGCCAGACTTTTTCTTTGTTATCATTTGAAACTGATTAGCAGCTTTGGATATCTCAAATTCCGAGTAAAAAAAACTTAACAACATATTTATCATATTGTCTGATAGTCCTAAAGTTATGAAATGATTTTGCAGTTGGAATTTCGGGACTTTGCCTTCCTGAAAATCATTACTCATAAATAATAAATAGTTTTCTGGCAAGAATATACCTACCTTCACATCTGAGATCATTGTGAATATTTCTTGATGTTTGTCTTTTATACCACAATGTAAAAGAATGGCTGTTAATAGCATAGTATGATTAATTCTGATAACAAAATGTTTATTTTTCACACCAGGAAGTTCATTTAAAATTTCACAAACCATATAAATGATCTCAGCATCAGACATAAGAGATCCTGAAAATAATTTATCTCGGATGAAACAAAAATTCAAAAGTATAGAATAAAGCTAACCTTCAGTTGGACTTACAATGTCGAAAGCACATTCATACAGTTCTCTGGGTTGGAAACCAAATACTTTTTTCTCTCTGTATACTCTTTCTATCGAATATCTTCTCAAGAGGGTAATGCCATTCCAAGCAACAAATCTTGCAAATGGGACTCTGCAAATAAAAGGATAAGTAATTGGAAAAATATAAATTTTCAAAAAGTTAAGTTATCGTTAAGTCACTAAGGAGTGTCAAAAATCGAAAAAAAAAAAATTATTCGCAAGAATAATTTACTATGTTGAAAACGGGAGCAGATTCGTTTCTAAAATTATCTGTGGAAAGGAGTAGAGAAAAAAAACTAGAGGAATGAATATTCCACCTTCTCGATCAAAAGAGAATATTATTAAGTTATTATTAACTCACCTGAGATCGTGAGGTAGAGATACTATACCACCAAAATGTGTCATTAGTTTAACATATGAATCTACCCCATCATAGAATTTGCTTTTTGGCATAAGAAGTGGTGTTGCGAGATTTTGACCACCGTGTTGTTTGAAGATCTGTAATTGATATCTTAGTCAAACTTCTAAATGACAAACCATAGGTACTTACTGAGAAATAACGAAATTTTCGGAAGTCTCAAAATTAATAAAGGTATAAGGAAGATCTCAGTATTGAAAAGAAATATTCTCAGGTATAATATGAAAATGAAAAAAATGGTTACATATGTATAAAGAAATACATTGACAATTCGTATTCTATCTGATAGAAATATCAATTCTTTCTCGCTATATTCAACAGAAAACAACTACCTACTTTCCTGGCTATATGCCACGACCATCTATTGAACACACACAATAAGAATGTAAAAATCGAATCTTCTGAAGTTGGGAATTTGCATTCTCTCTCCGATAAAAATATACAAGGTGTCCCAGAACAACGAACTAGACACCAAAATAGACTAATTGAAATAAGCTTACCTCTATACGAAAATGCACCATTGAGCCGTGAGAGGGACTTCAATCGGCCTATTTTGGTCTCTAGTTCACCCTGTAGAATTTATGGTACGTTGTTCTGGGACACCTTGTGTATGTATATAATATCATTCTCAATACCTTGCCACGTGGAAGATTGAATTATATTTGTTGAACATCCAAGAGGAGAATATGAAAATAAAAATCGTCTATAATTGAGAATTGACATTCTTTTTCAAAACGGATAAATAATATGATGTATATTAATGACAAAAAAATATAAATTACCAATATATTCAGTATTGAAATGAAAATTGAAATGTATAGGAGAGGCATACTTGTACAAACTCTGATCTTCAAGAGTTTCAAGCTTCCAAATATCATTCGTATCGGTGATGTACGGGATACATCTCCCAACAGGTTATTTGATTTTATTCGAATGAACTCATTTCAGGTGTCAAACCCTCCTTAGTAATAAGAAGTTCATTCAAAGGCCAGCTTCCTGAGCGCCACTGGTGCAATGAAAACCACTCCAACAGCCGCTTTAGGTCCTCTTGAACTTGCCACCACTACAAATATACATTCAAGGCGAAGCCATAGCAGTCGTGAGTTTGTCCAGGGGTGAAGCAACACGCACGGTAAAGACTACAGGAAAGCTATATGAAGAGTTGGAAAGCGACCCCATCATGAGAGTGCCAACAGATGGCATAATTCCAAAATATAGCTTTAAAAAACTTTCAAAATAAGTATAACGGACAGAGAGGCATGGAAGGAAGGACCTCCTATCAATGCAGACATTGCTGTCTATACGGACGGCTCCAAAACCGAGGAAGGGTCAGGAGCTGGTATTTATGGGACCAAGCCAAAGACAAGAATCTCACTGAGCTTAGGCAAATACGCGACGGTGTTTCAGGCAGGAATTATTGCATTACATCAATGCGTAAAAGAATTGATAAGGCAAGAGTTTAAAGTGAGAAAACCATTGCAATCTATTCGCATAGCCAGGCGGCAATCAAAGCAAATAACTCAATGCAAGTTAACTCAAAGCATACTATCTTTGCTCGGGAACCCTGAATGAACTGGGCAGTCAGAACAGACTGACTCTAGCATAGGTACCAGCAGATACAGGGTACGCGGGCGATGAAGAGGCAGACTCACTTTCCCGAGCAGGAGCAAACAGAGCTCTGAATGGCCCAGAACCCTTTCGTGGTATTGCAAAAGCTATACAAAAAACAAGTATCAAATCATGGATGCAAACCAAATATCAAGAATGGTGGAACAACTCGCCAGGAATGAGACTGGCAAAAGAGTTTATTGAAAAAACATAGCCAACATTCACAGAATATCTACTGAGCCAAAAACGAAGTACAACTAGAATACTAGTGGGACTTCTCACAGGGCATTGTAGGCTCAACAAACACATGAGTACGATAGGTCCGACTGAAGAACTGCTGTGCAGGTTCTGTCAGGAAGAAGAGGAAACAGCAGTACACATACTTTGCCACTGTGAGGGCTTTTCAAGACTAAGGTTCCTTACGATGGGTGAGGAAAAACCATGAGCCCAAAGTTACACAGGGGATCTGAAAGATAGCCTATGGAGTCTCATGAAGAAGGCGGGGCTAGCCAAAGAACACTAAACGATATTGAGGGCAGACACAATAGATCTGAAAAGGTCGCGGTGTGGAGGCAGATAGGCCGAAGGCCCCACTCTAAATCTAATCTAATCTAACCCGAACTGAAGTCTTTCAGCCATTCTTCATGAAATACACAATTTTCATCTCTCTATAATATAACTTGAACAATATTGGTAATTTATATTTTCATATCATTATGCATCATATTATTTATCCGATTTGAAAGAGAATGTCAATTCCCGATTTCAGAATATTATTTTCATATTCTCCTCTTGGATGTTCAACAAATATAACTCAATGTTCGACGTGGCAAATAGTCGGGACAGTATTTGTTTTCTGTTTCATATTCATACAAGATGTCCCAGAACAACGTACCATGAATTCTACATGGTGGTCTAGACACCAAAATAGACTGATTGGAATCAACTTACCTCTATACGAAAATGCACTATTGAGCCGGGACAAGGCGATGAAGAATAAAATATTGGAGTGACGTATTCCTGAGATAATTTTAAGAAAAAAAGTTTATATAAACTTGTGTCCTTATATAGATATAATTTTTTATCTGAAAGAGAATGCAAATTCTCAACTCCAGATTATATTTTAAATTCTTATTGAGTGTGTTCAATAGATGTGAATCAATGTTCGTCGTGGCATATACCCTGAAAAGTAGTTGTTTTCTGTTAAATATACCGATAAAGAATTAGGAGATGCTGGGCGCAGAATTTTTATTTTAGTGAGTTATTTTTTGTAGGTATCTTCCAAAGGAAAAGATGCATGATTGCCAAAGAATTCCACGATTTCAATATTCGTTATCGCAAATAGTAATGAAGTTTGTGAAAATTTTGAGACATAATCTCAGGATGTCTTCTCTATTTTCAATATTCTGAAATAGTTATTCTTCCTGATTTCATAAATATTTACATTTCATATATTCTATCGAATATTACTATAGGCGAATAAAAAAAGTTAAACAATTTATTGACATTCACGTCATAAAGTTATCTGATTAAATTCAAGTTTACTATGGCTGAGATAGAATATTTAATTGGTGTCAACGTGTTCATCAGACAAGCCATTGTTTCTAAAGTTCTGTTGGTACGATATTCGAACTTGGCAGGGGTGTTGGATACAAGATTTGTAATACATTTCGATATTTCATACTCTCCCATCACTTCTGGTTTTATCGGAAACGACTCAAACTTTTCATTTTCAAATGTGTTTTATTCTATGATCACTTAGTGATTATCATAACGGATTCAACGATACCTGGTTTGATAGGGTTATTTCAAACGATTACGAAGAGATTTAATAATAATTATAATAATTGTTTTTACGCCGGCGGGAGTAGAAGTTACTTTCTCTGGTAACAAAAGAGGGGCATTTTATTCCCAAGGGAGATAATGTGACATATTTTCTCCCTAGGGAGTTTATACCAACTTTACATTTTCCGTATAGCTATGCGGTTTCTTTCCAGAACACCCTTCTCTGAAGGGAGTATAAGCTGCATCATACAGATTTAGAAGCAGTATCAGCAATTTCTTGGGATTCTTCCTGTTTTCATAAATTTCAGTTTGATTTTTGCTGTCACCATTGGTTGTCAACAAGATGCATGTTGTCAATGTCAAAATACGAATTCCACAAACTATACTACTACTAATTATGACAAAACACTTTGACCAAATTTTTATTCTTTCTTATTCTTTGTGTTTTCGCCAGCGTAAAAAATAGTATAAATACACCTCAAGACAGAATGCTATTTTTCTCTCGGTGCTTTGTATCTCTCGGGCTTCGCCCTCGCTCTACAAATCGCACCTTGTTGTTTGTTTGTATCCTATAGGCTCCGAAACTACAAGACCGATTTGAGAAATTCTTTTACCCCTGGAAGCTGACATTATCCCTGATAAACATAGAATACTTTTTACCGCGGTAAAATGCTTCATTCCAACGGGTAATAGGACAACGGGCACTAAAAATTATGCTTCCGTACTTATCTTCTTCACATAACTGCTAAACTGCTGAACCGATTGGGTTGAAATTTAATATGGGTATTTCGATAGTTTTATGGATTATTTGACAATAAAATAGGACGCGGTAGGTGGCGCTGCTGTCGGTACGTCAACTACTAAACGGCTTGACCGATTGGGTTGACATTTTTGATACGTAAAAATTGAGAGAATGAAAATAGGTGTAAGTATAGCACAGAAAATTTAAAAAAATATGTACTGTTGATACGCGCATAGGTCAGAACGACTGCATATGTCATATATGTTTTAAATGGGCACACCAACCCTGCGAAGCTGGGCCGGACAACTAGTCTACAAATAAACAGATAATATGCGTATACTACGTGTAACTTTTCATGGAAGTGTTTATTTGCAACGTTCAGAAACATGTACATAGAGTGAATACAATTTCAAACAGAAAGGTTTCAATATATTGTAATTTCACTACCCATGATTTCATTTTTTATATTTCTTCTCAATTACTCCAGCGAGAACGAATGAGAATAAATCACCCTGTATATATCCAAGGTACAAAATATGATAAGGATCCTCTAAGTTGAGAGGTTTTCTATTTTGGTGTGGTAAGCTGATTTCTAAAGCAGAGATTGAGGTTGTGTATATCCGCAAAGAAACCGATTTTTCTATACAGATAACTTGTTTTTTTTTCTTTGACTATTCTGTGGAACAAGACAGAAGAGTGAAGAATCCGTCGCGACTCAATTATCAGCCAACCTAGATCTTTTAGGTGATGTGATACATGATTTACCTTCTTGTTTCTGCTATCAGCCTAATGCATGAATTCAGAATTTCGATTTTCCATATGTTCAATGGGTGTGATGGAGCAATATCGAAACTTCTTTCTCTGTCACACTCATTGAGCATATGCCAATTTTAAACGCGTACCGTAAATCTTTGTAATCGTTTGAAATAACTCTATGGAACCCGGTATCGTTGAATTTGTTATTTGTTAGTTGCCCTATTCGAAAACAAAAGTTGGGGTCGTTTCCAGTAAAACCAGAATCAATGGGAGAATATGAAATATTACAAAATTTTCCGATTCTCGAATCCTACACTCCTGCCAAATTTGAATCTCATACTGTCGAATCTCTGGAAACCATGACATGTCAATCAATTCGTCAACATCCGGTATACTATATGAAAATTATAAAGATTGTTTAACGAATCGCTACAAGGATACCTTTTGCAAAATCGCAGTCACGAAGAGCAACGCTCACCGTTACACAGCTTTTTTTTTTCGTCGAGGTGGTGGAAATCCTTTAGAGACATCATATGAATCAAATCCCCCATATAATAGTGTGGGAGTCCCCTGACTCTGCCAGGGTATACCCACTAAACTACTAAGCACTCCTGCGCGTTTGTAGGCTCGCCTGACCGATGTCTCCGACGACACTCAGGCCTAGTGGCCCATTGTATCCTACCTAGTAGTATAGGCCATCATTGATTTTAACATACAGGGTATGTCACGACAAACCAACACCATCCTTACATCGAGAACCAGTCGCAAGAAATCCACGAAAATGCGCATGCCCACACCCGAGAATACGCTCAATTCACCCAAAACACCCTTGACAATGCAGCGCCACTGCCACCACCGAAACGCAGCAACCACTTTGTCACCTCAAACCGAACTCCCTGCACTCCAGTGCATTCCTAGATTTTTTTTATGTTCTGGTTCCTATGAAAAGGGATATCCTGTAATGTTCAGAGAACATCGTGAGAACCAAGGAAAATAAGGTAGGAATTGGTGTTCTTCTCAAATTTCTGGAGGTTATATGCCTCGGGGAACGCCTCCCTTGGCAATGTGCTCCAGAGCCTCGCTGTTCGTTGGATGAACGAGTCTCTGGAAAGAGCCCACCTCATCGATACACCACACCCGGGGTCCAGCGGGAACGATCACAGAGATACAGAGCTCTCAAAATGAAGATTCCGGCTCACACGTCCCCATCCCAACCCCCGACCCACCATCCACCGACATCCAACTGGAACAGATACAGGGTGATCAGAATTCTGAATCTCGAACCAACCTGCATATGCCCAAATGTGAGTAGATAGCAAATCAAAAGTTGAGACAGGGAAATGGACAATGAACAGTCCCGACGAAACGCAAAGCGGAATAATCTCGATCCTGAACACAAAGCCGCCGCCACCCCTCGACAGAAGCGGCAACACTGCATTGTCGGAACTATTGAAAACGAAGAGAGCGCAATCTCAAATACAAGCATGCACACCTTTGAAAAATTCCCGCGACCGACCCTCGACACCAAGACAGCGCAAGTTCGTCGCGACACACCCTGTATACGACCCATGGTTCTTATATAAGGGCCATTTCGTATACCATCACAGTACCAGACGTTCGTTTGAGAGATCCTTTTCGTTCAGGTTCCTGAAGATTACTCTTCCGAGCCCTGATCTCGTCCACGAAGAGGCCTAAAGTTTTCCTTCTCCTACGAGTAATAGGGGAAGGAGTTTATCCAACCCTGTGGTGTCCCCCCCCCACAGGATTAAGGCTGTTTACTCTGAGATGTCGCCCTGTTTCCCAGTGGTCCCGTTATCGACACGTTATAATCCCGGTGCCATTCATTACTTGTCAGGGGTACCCACAACTTGAATTAGGTTGCCAGAGCCTCGTTCATCAATCCACGGCCACACGGGCAGATGATCACAAATCATCTGAGTGATGAGAGCAAAGATGGCCACAAATTGCTACATCTGCCAAGCAACCGTGGCTTGTCCTCTCCGCATCATGGTGAGGTTGGCCTATAGGGAATAAGAAAAAAGATAAAATTGGCCATGAGAGGCCCATAGGGAAAATATAGAACTGGTGAGTGAAGAGGATACCATCCAAGACAAGTTAAAGATTGATGAGAATCCGGCAAGGGTACCTCGGGTTCGCCCGTATTCACAAGCCCCTGAGGACAATTGACACAGTTCGGCGCATAATGAATTTCAGTTTTAATTCCGTTAGCGGAGACTAGCGAAAACGTACGATAGCCGAATCATGTTGCCATTCACATGCCCTATTCAATCTGTATATGTTTGAAATGTTTTCAAAATATATAATGAATCATTGGATGGTCTATTGGATCTATTAGAATGGAAAATCAAGTCTGAAGAGAACTATCCCAAAGAGAACAATGTCTCATTCAAAAGTTGATTTCGAACTTTTCAATATCTTCATTAGATTTCGAGATACACTGAATGGCGGGGATGTCCGAGTGAGGTTACGATGTACCTATATTCTGTGGTTATTCCAACTGATATAAAGTACCATCTAGACCGCTAATGCAATGAGAAAGAAACTATATGCCACCCACGATATCGAACTGGAGAATATGAATCATGCGCATTTAGTACCTGTCATATATCTTACTCTCTCCTACTTATGTTTTCAAACCCCAAGAAGCATGACTTCTTATGAAAGACAGTTTGGCTGTTCCTGCGCAATGAGCAGAAGTGTTTTCAGGCGAGCAATTTACCCGAGATTTCCGGGTTGCTTGGATATGCCAGATAAGACGTTACCCTCAAGTTGATGACACATATAACGAATGAAGAATTATATGTCATGCAAGACAGCACGTCTCAATAGCGCAACATGTCCATCATCAAGACATGTTACTCCTCATTTCTAACCAATATTTATGTTTCTGACATTGTTCGGGATTTAGTAATTCTCACAAAACTCAGGTGAAATATTCTTCAGTACGAACAAACAATTTTTTGAACAATATGAATTTACTAAATACTATGGCATCTTATTGAGAATAACTATCTGCTGAGGTGATCCATCTTGCAGTGGAATGAAGACAACAGGACAGGACATAACATTAACAGTAGGTAAACACATAGTAGAATTAGTTTTGATCTTCTCCAGAAGATTCTAACAAAACCAGCGAAACGGGTGTCGGAACTTCAAAAAACTCGGTTTGGTGAATGCTAGAATAGTGTTGTAAAAGTTTCAAGACAAATACGAATTTGTAATTCAAATAACCATTTTTTATGTTGAAAACGGGAGCAGATTCGGTCCCGAAACGTCCAAAGATAAGTGAAAATTTGATATTATTTCTATATACCTTTATTTCTCTTCTCCAAACCTTTTTCAATACAAATTGTCACTGACAAGCTAGTGAATTTTTCATTCAGGCTCTCTGATAGGAAAATTCTTCATAAGCAGTGACATTTTGGGGCAAATCATCTGATTTGTCCTTACTACACGTATATTGGGATAATATTCATATTTTAATTTTATAGAAACGAGGAGAGAAAATCCCAAAAAATTTGGAATAATGAATGTACCACCTCCTCGATTAACCTACAAACTATAAATAATATTTTTTCACTTTTGGCTCACTTTTGGCACTCACGGCATATCTTGTTAAAAAACATGCTTACATTTCATTTCACTACTATGTTTCAATTATATGCACATTTAAATTCTATTATAGACTGTTGGCCCGCGACATAGGGTTTATCGATGTTCTAAGTCGGTATGCCATTTAAGGGACCCACTCACTTAGTCCAATTTAACAGGAAGAAGTGCCTCGGAGAGTCGCAACCCAGTCCTTGCCCCGGCCCTGACCTCACCTTTCGGTTGGAAAAAAGTTCAAAATGTTGTTTAAGAAGAAGCTCGGCAATGAAGTGCGATGATTTCATCTCACGAAAATTGGGACACGCGCGGGTTTGCCCGATTATTACAACGTATGCTCACATTGAATTCGTATGCAAATAGCATCCAGTTATACAGAATATTCTAGTTTATCTGTCCAGAGATGTGCATACGAACTTAAATCATCGATTATTTGAAAGATGTCTAGTCAATTGATGTTCGAATAAGTCGAGCTCTTCTCTCCGGAATCGTATGCAAATGTCGGGAAATTGATTAATGGGTCCGAATTCATTGTTTCGCCAAATGGCATACATTCTTAGATCATCGACTATAACACTGAAAAATTGCCAATTCCGGTTCGTATGCCGCCCTTGGGGAGTGACCTAGGCGTATGCAAACCGGCAGGCGCCCCAATTTTCGTGAGATAAGATCATTGCACTTCATTGCCGAGCTTCTTCTTAAACAAAATTTTGAACTTTTTTCTAACCGAAAGGTGAGGTCAGGGCCGGGGAAAGGACTGGGTTGCGACCCTCCGAGGCACTCCTTCCTGTTAAATTGGACTAAGTGAGTGGGTCCTTTAAATGGCATACCGACTTATAACATCGATAAACCCTGTGTCGCGGGCCAACAGTCTATTAGGAACTCTGTGATGCTACTTACCTTTATGCAAACATTTTTAACAAAGTCGTGTAAGTGTGATGGCTTCATCATATTCAGACAGGACGGATCTTTATCGTAGGTAATATCCTGGACTGCTGTAACAGGTTGAATGAAACAAGAGGCAATGAGGTACTTATAACCTTTGAGCTGGGGATTTCTCAAAGTGTGCCGTACTAATTCTCGAAGTTCACACTCTTCTAATACTGGTGGAGGTATGTATTCAGATTGAAGCAGTTCTAGAGATGTGGGACGTTTTGACAGATCATGATCTAGAAGCCACCTTAAAAAATGCATTTCAGTGACATAGATAGGAAATTTTAGGATTATTGGGCCAGTGATCAGACAATATTATACCCTATATCAACTATCACATTATTATCATTTCAGACATTTATGATTCAATTTGCTAGTAAGTTCTGGGTTGCATCTGACCACAATATCAGTCTCGTCTTTTATACTTCAAGTATAGAATAATTTGAGATGTCTACATTCTGTGAAATAAAGAATCATCATTCAGTCATTTTGAAAGAATTTTGTCAGCTCAGGAGGGTGTAAACTCGAGTATTTTTTTAAATATGAAATTTATATTTCTAATGTAACAATAATTGTTGAATTGTTGAATTATTACTGTTCTCCCTTAATATTCCAGTGAGTTATCTGAGTACAAGTGCATTTGCAGGTAAGTATCAGTCAAAGTTAATAATTGAATATTTCAATTTGTTATCAGTGTTACCAATCACGCCATATTGATATAGCAATAGTTTACATTGACCGATTTGTCCGGTAAAAACGTATTAATTGATGAAAAATAGAAAAAAAAAATGTATATGACACAAACAACAACAATAATAATATACTATTATTGGTGTGTATTTTTACACACCGATTGACTATCGACTTCACGACGAGGGGTCCTTTAACGTACGTGTGTTTGGTGTAGGTTTTCTTACTGACTACATATGCGATGTTCCATTTTGTTCCTGAAATCGCTTTTAATTGGAGGCTACAAAAATTGGAATTCATCTCATTTTCTGTCTCATAAATGAAAATTATCTGCTCTGCCAGAAATAGAACCAGCAATCTTCCGATTGCTGATCGAACGCTTTATCCATTGCGTCATCCTGACGTCTCAAGGATAGTAAGTATTCAATTATAATTATGATGCATAAAATGTTTCTTCCACCACTAGCTATAGAACCTACCATTATTTACTCTATCTGAAGGCCTGAAGTGTGTTTTTTCTACCAAGGTAGTTTTCGTAATTTTATGCTACTAGTCAATATAGACATAGCCACCTGTGTTATAATTAACCAGAATTCACTGTTCTGATAAGAGATTCATAGGAATGGCACTCAAATCTGTAGGGAGGTAGGAGGTGCTTTCATAGTGTATAGGTCTATTTCATTTTCACAGAACTATAATGATTGAAATATATTGCTAGTGGTGGAAAAATTTTAATATACACCTTGGCTCGGCTGAAGCCTTGGTATAAATAATCTTGGTCCCTGGGTAATAATGAAATTACTTAGTATCTTGGTGTATAAATAACTATTATTAGTGAAAAACATACCTGATAAGTAATTGTTGTTTTTCGTTTTTCTTGTTCACAAAATCATCGGGAAAAGTCACCTCTTTACACCTCAATTTGGTTAGGATTTTTATTCTTTCCATTGATGTTTCTAATGGTCTATAGCACATTTCAAAGAGAATAATTCCTGATAAAGAAAAATTTTATATTCAGAACATCATTGTGATTATTTCATTCTCCTTACCTAAGCTGTAGATATCTACTTTTTGACTATACACAACCTTGACAGTTGAGTTAATTTCAGGTGAAACATACAGAGCTGTGCCAACTAGCCCAGTTTTACTTTCATCAACTGTGTCTTCTTTCTCAGTTTCCAGTGTAATTTTGGAGAGATTCTGCTCATTTTGCTTAGATTTCATATTGGTGGTCGCTAAACCAAAATCGCCAATTTTCACATGATCCTCGGAATCCAGAAAAATGTTGACTGGCTTTAGATCTCTGTGTATCATACCCTGTTGGTGGATGTGAGCCAAACCTGAAACCAAAATCATTCACACACAAAAGATTGGCGAAAAATCATAATCTCATTTTATTAGGAACACATTCATACCTTCAACTATTTCTCTAAATAACCTGAACACTCGATTTTCATTCAAATACAAGTTGTCATCGATGGCAGTCCTCAATGTGCTTTTTTCACAGAACTCCATCTGTATATACATGAAATCGATTTGTTTCACAATATCTTGTGCTATTTGGGAATTGTCTGAGTCTTTGATGGATGAGGAATACGAACTATTTTTTGAAGCTGTACTTGATCCACCACCAAATTCTATGCCATCAGAATCAGATTCATCTTCGTAACTACAAATGTTCGAGAGCACTTTTTGTTAATTGTTACTTACAATTTGGAACTTACATTACACCCCAAGATTCTTCTTCATCACTAGATTCATTAAGTGAACCACTGGCATAAGCAGATTGAGATTTACTATCATAAGTAATTGATACCTCAACATTCTTCATCGGAGGTGCATGAAGCTCAATATCGTCATTTAAAGTGAACTGAAATACAAATAATGCATTCAACTTATACAATATTATAGACAGAATTATGTCGTTTACAACCTCATCTTTTCTCACGACTACTGGCCTTTTTTCTTTGGGTATAGAAGAATCATTTGAACTAGCATCTTCATCTTCTTTGATAGTAGTTGTTTCAATCCAAGAATTGTAATAACGAACAACATTTTCGTGATTGAGTCTAGACAATAACTTCACTTCCCTAACGATTTTCTTGTTCAGGGCTTTATTTTTAGGATTCAATTGTATCCGTTTTATTGCATAATATCCACCATCTAATTTATTTCTAGCCTAAAAAATAAGTTTTTGTGATAATAAGGTGAATACACTACACTGTTTTACCACTAACCAAACCGATTTTTTAACGCCTCGACACGTGTTTCGCTAACTATGTTAGCATCTTCAGGAGAAGATTAAAACTGTCAGTTTTAATCTTCTCCTGAAGATGCTAACATAGTTAGCGAAACACGTGTCGAGGCGTTAAAAAATCGGTTTGGTTAGTGGTAAAACAGTGTAGTGTATTATCGTGCCAAAGGTTCCAATCTTCGATTAATAAGGTGAATAACAGTGAGCTCACAATAGCCTACATATTTTCGAAAAATTTAGATCCTTCTCTTCTGCTTTTGAAAATATATTGGTTGTTGATATTTGATTCATTCAAGATCTGATCGCAGGAGCTTCCGATATTGAAAAACTTGTGTATAGGAAATCATTGGCAAGACTAATGTTGATCTGCTGATCGTTCGCTCAATATTCATGACTACTGCGATTATACCCAGTGGTCCAAAATATTTCTGTGACTGACAGTACATCAAGAAACAACTATTTTGTATGAACTCATTTCCGAAAATTGATATAATCTTGAAAGGTTTGATGATGATTATTAATTTTGGAAAGTGTAACAGGTCATTTGATAAAAATAACGATAACTGATACAAAAAAACAATTTATATATAACTAAACAATAATCAACTGGTAATTAGTTGAACAATTTAATATAAACTTATAGTAGGTGAATAAGTCGAAATTGGTTAACTAATAATAACTATCTTCAGAAACAATAAAGATAGTTATTCATGTCTATAATATGTTTAGATAATGTTCGAAGTATTGAACAGAAAAAAATATATACCCAGATAGCACAAAGTGATTCTGAGAACGTTCTTAGAATATTCCCGTGGAACATTTCGAATATTCTCAGAATTTTCTCACAAGGTGCTCTGAACGTTCTGAGGAAAAAAAATGGAAAGAAAATGCACGTCCCATAACATCTACCAGAACATTTTCAGAACATTCTATGAATATGTAGAACGAATATGTAGAATGATCTAGGAATATTCTCTGTAAACAGGGTATTTTAAGCTCATGCATGGAAAATATTTCAGGGATCGATACTGGAGGAAAATAGGTGCATAACACTTTGAAAACAAATCCTCTATCTATATCTAAATAATATATTCTATGAACATACCTGAAGAACATACCTAAAATATTCGAATAATACCTACATTCTATGATCATTCTTGAATGACATTCATTAAATATACTGGAATATTTTAGGAACGTTTCTAGGATATTTAGATAAAATGTTCTATGGATATTCTCGTAAAATATTCTATGAACATTCAGAACATCCGCATCATATTTTATGAATATTCTTTGAAATATTCTGAAGGAGGTATGTTGTGAACGTTGTGAGAACATTCATAGAATATTCTGTGCTGTCTGGAATATCAGTGTAACATAAGAAAGTTTTAAGAAATCATCATTCTGAGATTTTCAAATTATCGAATATCTCTAAAGCTGCAAGGTTTAATAATGAGGTAAAGTGATAAATAGGTTCTAAATGACGTATTATATCAGTTCCTGAAAGGGTTTGTATCAACTTGCAGGACACCCTGTATAAAGGACACTCGTAACTACCTTAGAATATATTGTATTCAATTTGATTCATTTCCTGATAATCAATTGAATACTTCCCACCACTCGCTCAATTGCCAATAACAGACGAGTTGTTTCTTCTTATTAATATTTTCTGCACTTCCGGGACTGAAGTGTGTCTTTAGGTTCCTCCAAACTGGGTGAAAAGTGAAGAGTTGCTAATTATATTGTTAACATTGGCAGCTTACTTAATTTCAGAAATAATAATTTTTGCCGGATAATGCACGATGATATAGTCATGCTATCGCCATCTAGTGGCGTTAGTTCTAAGGTAAGACCTTGCAGACGCGTCATACACTGTTGGAGCTGCCATCTCTAATCAACACGTGTAGCCTACGCCTACAACGCTACAAGATTGGGGCAACTCTGTTAATTATGAGATCTACTTCATTTGTCAGCAGAGTGGTTCACTTGTAGTACCTCTTTGCAGCGTTGTAGGCGTAGGGGCCTGCACGTGTTGGCTAGAGTTGGCAGCGTCCTACAGTGTATGCAACTCCAAGGTCCCACCTTAGAACTCACGTCACTAGATGGCGATAGCATGACAAGATCATCATGCATTATCCGGCTTCTTCGAAATGGGTGATATCGTTACCACCGATACAACAAGGCCAGCAGACTCTGACGTAAACAGCTCGTGACGTCACCAAGAGAGGCCAGTGTTTTATTTTATCGCTTGTCGACTAACGCGTCAGTTCGTGTTAATTCATCGGTGATTCACGTATGTTTTTGAAACGGTCCCGAATTATTTTGTTGTTTATTCATCAAAATAATTGGCGGAAAAATTACTGTTTTGTGAAATATTTTGTGTTGTGATCGGCGAAATAACAATGCCTTTCAAGTGTTGTGTTCCCTTTTGTCGGGGGAATTATATGGGTGGTTCAAAAGTTCATGCTTTTAGTTTCCCGTTGGACGAGGAGCTATCGAAAATGTGGGTATACGCAATTCACTGCAAGGATTTTACTCCATCTGAGTTCAGTAGTAAACAGAGCTTAATTTATAATGATGAATTAATAATAGGAGACAATTACTCTCTCATAAAAAGTATAAGTAGAGGAAAAATAGAAGGGCTTTGATTGTGCAGTTAGTTTTGTATTCGTATATTATAGTCAACAAAATCATCTCTGAATTCGAGGAAATTTTCTTGAATGTTCATAATAAACGGGCATTTTTAATTCTCATTCTCAAATTTCTTTCTGAAAACGGTCATTTGCCTCGTGGCAATGAATGCAGAGTTCATTCCAATGATCAAATTGAAACTATCATATTAACATGAACTACAAACACTCTACTTAAAAAGGTAAAACTGCATTTATCATGATATTTATCATGAAGATATTTGACTAAAAAGTTCCAAATTTCACCTTCTTTTTCACCTGTCTTCTGGATGGCATTTAGAACAAATTTCCCTTCTTTTTTCATCATATTGGACAATTTATATATAATTCAACTATAAATATGATTTTCTTGAGATTAATCCATATTTAGTGAGAAGAAGGTAGAATATCATTCAAAATAATGGCGTGTATAATGTCATTCGAAAGCAATCTATTGACATTTGACATCTCGTATTTTGATTGACTATTGATTAAATGGTCGTCATCTGGAATGCTTGTTCACTAAATATGAAAAACTCGCCATAAAAATCATATTTCCTGTTGAATTTTCTATATAAAAATGTGCCATCGAAGTACATCATGAGTATATAAAGTGTCCAATGACAAAATGAGAGCAAGTAGCTTCAAATGCCCCCAACACAAGGGGAGAAAGAAGGCGAAATTTCGAACTTTTTCTTGAAATATCTCAATAAATAGTGGTTTGTTCACATTTTCATAATAAAATTCGGTTTATCAGACGAAAATACGTGAGTACCGAAAAATATTTTCAAAAAAAAAACCATCGCATGATAAATGCAGTTTTACCCTTAAAAATTACGGTTTCAAGTGTAACGATCCACTTGGGTGAAAAATCCAACAACAGAAAAGTGAAAACACTCACTGGTTATTTTTTCAGGTAATAGGAATTCTCCAAGATAAATATAGGTAATTGTAACAAACGGCATGTCAATCAAAATAAAATACTTTTCCACAATTTTCTTTCGATCAATCTCACGATAAGTTTATGTTCTGCGGGCCTTGTATAAGTAGGTGTAAAGTTTACCTTCACCACAATTTTTGCCAATATATGTAATTCGAATGGGTTGCTGTAGGTGGATATTTGTGTTTTATCCTGGTTTTTGCTTTGAAACTTCGTTTTTCCATAATAAAATCGAATGGGGTGCAAGAATGGCTCAGTTGACGACTGGCATCCTTTTTTAACCGGAAGCCCTTCAACAAACAGCAAAATCGGCTCAATGATGATCTAAAACTAAAATCGAAATACGCGGTCGCCTTATAGCGCTATAAGCGCTTGTCGTTTCGAGGTGATATACCCGAAGCGCTGAGTTGTCCCAGTTGTCAGCAGACCGAACGCGGCTGATGAAGCCTGGTGGGTTGAAACAGTACTGTCTGATCCGTCTGATAATTGAGGCAACTCTGTTCATCCTAGATCTCTTGATTATGAGATCCAGTTCAATTGTAAAAGAATTACCTTTTCCATGATGTGTCACACTTATTACTTTCTCGACTGAAATTGTATAGGTAATAGTGACCAAGGGGTGAGGAGGGAAGCATGGTAGTTGAGGTTACGATAGAACGAGGTCTCCATTTGATTAAAAATTGAAGTGTTTTCGCATTTTCTTCACAACACATGTGTCTTGAAGATATTCAAGATGTTTCGTTTTCGGTGCCGCACCCAATACAGGGTGTTTCCGAAATTGGAGCGATCTTTGAAATGCGGAACAGAAGACGAAAAAACAAAACGAAATAGAAGAATACATTTTTGTGAAATAAAATTATTTTGGTAGTTATTGAATTTTGAAACTTTAGCCTAAAGTGGCCCAACTTTCGAGGAACACTGATCAGCAGCGGCAATAGAGTTCCGACTAGCTAGACTCTAGAGGTCACAGACCGCCGTCGACTCGTAATGATCAAGGGCAGAGAGGTACAGTGTGGGGGTTGAATTATTACTAATGATTTAAAGGAATTTCATCCTGGGAAGAGGTTAATAAGCTTTTAAACTACCCCAGGAGAATCAGTAGAAGAATTGTTTTCACCAGCAGGTTAAGAATAGTGTCTTGATAAGCTGTGATAGTTTCATGTGTTTACATTACCTATTTTGTACGTATCAAGTGTAGAATGCATCACAATACCAAACTAAAAAACAGAAATGCGAGGAAAATAATGCAAGTAGGTATTCGACAGAAAATAACGAAATTAATTTTATTCAATAAGTTGAGTGCTAATTGATAATCA